AGCGACAGAGGCAGGAGCGGGCCCTTGTACCCGCGTCTGCTTTGAGGCATTTTTTACTCGGTTCTGCTTTGAGGCATTTTTTACCCAATTCTGGTATCTCAATCAGCTCGAGAATTCTCTTTAGTGACCCCCGGAGCGTCAAAGGCTGAGCTATCCCAGCGTGCCCAGCGGCGCCTTTTGTGGTGATCACAAAACAAAGATGCAACCAAGCGTGCTGCCCCTGAGGATTTATTTGAAATTGCAATGTAATAAATAAAATCAATGCCATATTATAGTCGAGGGCTAAATGATAGCGGTAGTTAAAAATAACAATTGGAGATTCTGAGGGATTAAGGAAGAAGATGCTTCTTCCGAAGACTTTTTGCCAGCAATCTCTTTTGGGTTCTTTTGTCCAGCTCTTCAGTGATGTGGCCACCTGAGGGGTTTGAAATATTTTCTCGGTGAGGCAATCCTCCAATTGATTCACTCTTTTCCCATTCTGTACTCCCAGATCTGCCTGAGTGCAGCCTGTGTGTATGAACAGGTGGGTCTATATCCACAGCTCTGTTCCTGGCAGAGTTGGTCTCTGCACTGCAGCTGCTTCTCCGTCCTGCTGGAGACTCTTCCCTGGATATCCTGGATCCATCTCCTACACCGAGACATTTGATGGAGCCCTATTGGGACAAACTATGTCACTCTATGCATCCTCTTTTACAGCAGTGCTGGTTTCTAACTGTCCCGTTTAGAATGACAAAAGTTTATCTGTTGCTTTTGTAGTAGAATCAATTTCTAGGAAAAATGCCAAGCTGCAAAACCCAGTAAACACTGAAACACTGTGGAACTGCAGAAGTATTTCCCAAAAGCCCATATTTTCTGTAACAATAGGGTTCTTTCATACTCAGGGACATGACCTACAGAGTTTCTGGTGTCCCCAGTTGAGGTTACTTTTATAAACTACCTGAAATGGAAGCTGACACGGCTGGTGGGGTGTGAGAGGTGGGCTCTGGGGCCAGCTTTGGTAGGGCTGATGGCAGGCAGGTGTCAGAGCAGGGCCCAGGGACTGTCCCCAGACCTGCCTCTGCAGGCCCTCAGAGTTCCTGGCAGCACCCTGAGGAGAGGACAGCCCAGGAGGAAAAGTGCAGATCTCCCATCTTTGAATTGTCTGTGGATAATTGAATTCACTTCTCTGTGGCCTGAGCGTGAGGCAGCAGCATGGATGAGTCCTGTTCTCTGACACTCTCAGGTTCAATCCTGTGCAAGTTGAACTTCAGGTTCTGATTTATAAAACCAAGAAATGAGGTAGAGGAGGCACAAACACAGCCAGCAGCAAGGAGGAAAACATTGGGGTATCACCAAATCTGTGTTCAGCGCCTCTTGGCACCCAGTCCTTCCAGGAGGGATGTGCTTTCCAAAAGTATTTTGGCTGCACAAGGACAGCACTGGAGCATTGAAATCCTTTAATTTGTTTTTCAGGCCAGTTACTTGTCAGAATTGATTGAGGGTTCCCAAGAAACATTTCAGACAACTGGTCTAGGTGGGACTGGGGGTCGTTGAGGTCCTGAGGAAGCTGCAGGAAGCTGGGTTTGGACTGGCTGCCTGAAGGGTAGAGAACACATTATGTTTACTGTTTCATAGCTTGAGACACCTGACATTCCTAAACTGGTTCTTTACCATTTCTAAACAGTTTCCAGCATTTACACCTAACTTCCTCTCCCTTGCTTCATTTACCTGTGTTTATGCCAACATTTTTCCTTCAAGCCTTTAATCTATTGCAGCTCATGATGCTGCATGAAAAATCCCCTTAAGCAGGACACAAGACATCAATAACTTCACTTACAGCAACATAAATGTGGGAAAGATGAAGTGAAGAAGGTTTTAAATACTACAAACCTTGTACCAGGAAAATGCAATATGGTAAAAATATTGCGACTCGATGCGGCAGGCTGGAAAAAACATTGCAGAAAATCAGGTTAGCAGAAAACACAAAGTGTAGATAATTATTCAGTATTAAACTAACATCATTTTAGAACTGGTTCTTTTTTGCTGGGACTTTCTTCATTTTCTCTTGCAACATTTTGTTTTGATATTTTTTATTCAGTTTTATCAGAACTAGACCCACAGCCTGGCTAAGCAGCATCTCCAGTGTTTGGCCTAAGAAATAATACAGGTGGTTTCAATGTATCAAAAAGTCACAAAATCATGATGGACTGACTGTGTTGGAGAAAAAGCACTGTGCAGTTTGGATTACCCAACATGAAATAATCCAAGTCTGCATCCATTTTACCTGATTATTTCCCGTTTCATGACTTGCTCTGTTGCCTTGCTTTGGTTCCTGCCCACTGTTATTCCTGAAACAGAAAGCACATCATCAGGAAATCCTTCAGGGATGTAGCATCTTCCAAGGACAAAGCTACAGCTCAGAGGTCTGGATTCTGCTCTGAGTCCATCCTTTTCTGGACTTGAGAAGCAATTTCAATATGCTCTGCCCCTGCATCTATACAATATAATTATCAACAAAAATTAGGAAAGTGCAATGGATGGGGGAAAAAATGCTTGAGAACAGACAACTGGAGTGTCTGGATTGCACTTCCAAGGAGCAGGGGATGGAGCTGTTAAACTCCCCAGTCCTGTTTTTAGCAGGGCAGTCTGATATTTTAGGAGGTGTGGAATTTTTTGTGTAGATAAAGCATCCACGTGCCTCGCTGCACTGACGTGGAGCACACTCTCATGTTGGAATTGCACCTGTAGGAAGGGAAATACCTGTGCTGTCCTCTGCTTTTCCTGCAAAGTTTTCTCCTTATTGCATCACGTTTAAACACTGCTACTGCAGTGAGGATGGCTACAGGCAGCACAAGGAAGAAGAAAATCAGGAGCCCATCCCGAAGTGATGTATCTAGGGTAAAAGAATTGAAATAATGGAATTTAAAACATTAAAGATTTTTTTTTTTGTTTTAAGAAGTACAGCCTTCAAATTGTTGTAGAATCAAATTAATAATTTCACTGAAATTTATGACATGTTACAATCACAAAAGTAGGATTTGGCCTTATGGTATTACAAGTTCTCTCTGCCTTACTCACCCTATGTATATACAACATTTTTCCTTTTCCATAATTTTTTTCTATAATTCTAAAGCAGACAAACTCATTTTGTATTTGCTTACCACAACTTCTCTGCATGTTTGCTTCACCTTCCTAAACTTTTAATAAATACAAAACATGTTTTCCCTTTCCCAAAGCACAAATTTAGTAAAATTCAGTAAATTTCCACAGAAAGTAACACAGATTTTCCCCAGAAAGCTATGGGTTATGAACTTAGACAAATCTTAGACAATCTCTTAGACAAAGATTTTGTGTGTAAAGGCCAGCAAAAGCTACTTCAATATCAAATAATAATTTTTGTTCAAGTTAGTCTGTGATTTGTGTCTCAGGCAATAGAAAAACAGTTAAAAGAAGCTGTTCTTAGTATTTTCTCAGTCCCTGGGGCAGATTGAGGGCCAGTTTCAGTGTCCTACCTGTGTGAGCTGGACCACTGTCAACACTGCCACCGTAGCCAGACTGGTTACAGAATGGAGGGGCCCATCCTGGATTGCAGTGGCAATTCCCGTTGTTGTTACACACCTACAGCCCAAACAAGAGGGAGTCATGAGTCAGGCAGGAACAGTTCCCATTGTTGTCACACCCCTACAGCCCAAACACAGGGATTAGTCAAACAACACCTCCCTGAGAGTGGCCACGCAAACCTTTGGTATGGATTTAGGGTTCCAGGCATGGAATTGCATGTGGAAACAAGAAATACTGCATAGTAATGCACAGAAATACATGAAATATTAACTGGGAATAAGCTTTGCCCCTCCATAAAACCCCAAAGCACTCAGGGATTCTGGTGCTCCCTGGTAATTCTCTCTACGTTAACATTTGTGTTATTTGCCTGCAATAAATCCCAGTCCAGAAACCTTCTTAGTTTTACAACCTTTGGACCCCATTTTGATTTTTCAGAGAGACATACATAAATCAGGAATTACCAGACTGTCATCCTCAAAGGAATATTTTCCTTTTACAATTCACCAGCTCAGTAATATTAAAAAAATTCCTTTGGGAAATTCAGACAAAATACCTCTCAGTGTTAGTGCTAAGGGGTTTGCAGTGTTCTGGCAACAGGTAAAATAAGTGGATTTAACTTTTAATACAGATCAGGAAAAAGCAAAGCCACCTGCTTGGTTACTGCTTAAATCCAGGGAATTTGCACTGTCTAGAAACAGAGCACAAAGCACCATCTACTCACCCCATTATTATTACACTTCTGCTTTACATCACAGCTATAGCCCAGATATCTTGCATCAACACATTCAAAACCTACACAGGCCTGGAAAAAGAGATTAGTGTCTTGAAAACACAAAACTTTAAAAAATCCCATCCTTTTATAAATATAAGTGTAAATACAGTAAGTGTAAATATAAGTGTATATGTTTACAAGTCTGCAGCTTTCACTTACATGTTAAGAAAAAGGACTGATAAAACATTCAGAATGCCAGAATTTTATAACTTTGTTTGTCTCAGGTTTGGTTAACTCTGTGGATGCACTTTGATGGAGTAATTTGGATGACTGAAAATGTAGCACCCCAGCTTTTGATGTATGTTTGTATGTTTTATGTTTTGTTTGTATGTATTGAACTCCAAAGATTTTTATTGTGTTATGGAATATGAACAAAAGAGACAGGTAATGTTTCTGGAAGTTCAGAACTTTCCACCTGGAATATATTCTGCCATGCTGCTGTGATTCCTCTTACCTTGTTCTCTCCACAGGCTGTCCCATCATGAACTTGAGCAGGATCAGGGATATCTGATCCTAAGTCAAAGTCAGAGGACCAGCATAAAACCCCGGATGCGTTATTGACAACACTCCAGGCTGGAAGGTTTTGAAGGCTGACAGATGTGCACTGGAGCTTCCCACACAGACTGTGCCTGTATGGAATGAAGGACACTCAGAGACAAGGTGAACAGCATCAGTGCAAATCCATTCCAGCTTTTTAGCTTGCATTTAAAAAAAATATTCTTTTAAATCTCTCATTTTAAGGCTTTGTAACAAATATATATTTTTTTACATTGAAGATTTTAGGGTTAGCTTTGATTTGGTGGTGACTTACTGGACAGGGCATTTCTTGTACACTCCACCTTTCATTCCACAGTTTCCAAACCTATCTCCTTTAATATTTGCTTTTTCAAAGCATATATCAGGTGCTTTTCGTGCCCCTGTACAAAAAAAATACTGAATCTCAGTAAGGTGTCTGAAAAATACCAGGAAGAAAAATTGGAAATGTCTATCAGGAGCCTACAAATTAAATGTTAACCATACCTTTCCCATAGATAGATTCACACTGTGAATCAAAGCTCTGGCACACCCCATAGTAGCAATAAGCCTTGCTGTTGCTGCATGGGTGACCATTCATGATGTAAACATCATCTGGGCAGTAGGCAGTGCTTCCATTGCAGTACTCAGGGAGATCACAGACATCTTGTTTTGCTCTGCACTCTGCTCCTGCCACTCTGAACTAGCACCAGAGAGGGAGAACGCTTTTAATATTGCAACAGAGGAAGGGCTAGAGTGAAACAAAGACAGCTGGGAACGTTTAGTGATTTTAAGGAAGACAAATTCTCTTCTTACATACTCTCTTACCATTGAATGTCATTAGAAAATATGTCAAGAGGAGCAGGATGGCTCTTTTCAAACATTAAAAAATCTCAGTGAATAGTAGCAATTTAGTTTAATAAAGCACTGCCTACCTTGCAGTTTTTGCAGCACAGTCCTTGGGCACATTGTGAGCCAGGTGTGAGTTTGCAGGTTGCAGCATCACAGCAGGGGTTGGAACATTCCTGAGAACATTGAAAGGGGACACCTTTATTTATTTATGTATTTATTTATTTATTTGTATATTAAAATTATATATATATATATATAAAATACATAAATATATATATATATATAAATATATATTATTGTGGTAGTTTGGCACCACACAACCTCCACAATGATACATATTTTATATATTTATATATTTTTATATTAATTATAATATATAATAATATAATATATAACAATTATTATTTAATATAATAGATAAAATATAATATATAATATATAATATATAATATAGAATATAGAATATAGAATATATAATATAGAATATTATATATAATATATAATATAATTTGTATTGATTACATTATATTATATATTTTATATGTTATTATTTAATCTTTATATTTATTTTTATTTATTCCTAGCCAGGAAAGTCCTCATCAGTCCACATGGATGAACAAGCCAAACTTTAAATAATTATATGTGTCAGATTATCACATTCTCCTTCTTTAAAAAGAACCAGCAGACCCTGTTGCTGTGTTTTATTTGTACAAGTCAGCAGAAAACACCTATTTTGATGTGTTGTGGCACAGGGATGCCAACAGAACCAGGATTTGCTGGCAGCATTTTTTTGAGACACTTTTACCTTCTGAAGAATGAGAATTACCTTCTGTCCATCCTGTTATTTTGTCATTTTGTATAGGCAAAGTTGAAGGGTTACAGTTAAAAAACCTGTACAGTCTCTGTCATGGAACAGAAATATCCACAATGCTAAAACCAGCACAAAACCCAGTGGTGTTCCCACACACTCTGCTCTGAATTTCACTTCTTTCTCAGCAGTGCCTCAATGTTCTGTGAAGTCCAATAGCCCTTAACTGAGTCCACATCAAAATCAAAGCATTATTTTAAACTTCTACTAAAATTTATTTTGATAATTCTTGCAAAAATGCAAAACTACAAGGAAAACTCCTCAGATAATAATGCATTTAGGCCATTATATCATTAGAATAATGATAAAATATAATAATGATAAAATATAATAATGATATAATATCATATTCAACAAGTATCCAGCTCAATTTCATGCATTACCTGTGGTTTGCCACAGTCACATTCTTCATTGTTATCAACCACATTATTACCACAGACAGGTTCTTTGTACACATTACTCGTTTTGGGAGGATTTCTAAGGCAGTTTCCCCCTCCATTCAGAATAAAGGCCTCAAAATCATCAGCGCTACAGGTGCTGAAATTCCTGGATCCACTGGAAAGGATAATATTTTATTATTATAAATATTTTGCTTAGAGGAGAATATACAACTCCATCTCTTAAAATACTGTTGTTCCATAATAAATATTGTATTTCATAATGCTAGGAGAGCATGAAACAGTTAATTTTTTATTTTACTTTGCATTAAAGTGAAGTACTAGAAGTTTAAAATACTATAGTAGTAATATATTATTAATTAAATCATTCGTATTATAATAGGAATGCTTTTAGAAGCCACAGACCATCAGATTATCTATTCTGGTGTCCTGTATGAAATGGGCATTAGAAATTCTATACTGAGTCTCAATATGTTTGATTAAAAAATATTCTCAGGAAAACATTCATCTTAACTTGGAGTTCCTAGGAAATGAGGAATGCACCATCCTAGAGTAGTTTTGTCCACTGTTCAGTTACCCTGATTTATTAATACAGCTGGGGATAAATAAAATATTATGATCTTTTTCTCTTAAGGGGAAGCCAAAGAAAAAATGAACTGAAGGAAATATAAACCAATAAGTTGGGTTTTTTTTAATTATCTGTTAAACAATTTGTTGCATATTTGCACAAACCCAAATGTAAAGCATTCTCAAGAGGTTGAAAAAAACTCAGCAACACACTATTATTAAAAAAAAAAAATAATTAAGTCCAAATAGGACTTACTAGGGATGTTACAAATAAAGAAAGATTGGGTCAGAAAACAGATAAAATTTCCTATAAATTAAAATTATGTCAAATCCTAAGTCAGTGAATCCACATCTGTGATTACATTTTTCAAACAACTCCCCATCCACTAAAGTTCTCCTAGATTCACAGGAGTTTCACAGCTTGCAAGGCATAGTGACTGCAAACAAAATAAATTATTAAAGTAAATTAACTGAAAATCGTACTTATCTGTGCTGTGCATGATATAGGATGCAGGACACCTCTTATCATCATGTTTCATCCCAAGATTGTGCCCCAGTTCATGTGCAACTACTGTGGCGTGACGTAACATTTTGTTATGATTCAGCTAATAAAGAGAATCGAGTTCAAAAAAGTGAAACTAAAGAAAATACTGATTTACTCTCACCACAAAGCTCTCAGGACTGGGAAGGCAGAATACCAAATTATATTGTAAGGTGAAAGGAGCAAGGACTGACAATTTGTCACTTTATTTTCAGGTAGGGCCAGATTCTGCCACTCCTTCCCTGTGGATCATATCCTGGATAATAAATTGGCAGCTGCTCTGGATCACCCCTGCAGGTTTTATTCTGTGTGATTCTATTCTACTCTAACACCGTTAGATACTCATTTCAAAGGAATCTTCAACAACAAATGTATTGTGAAAGAACAGAATCTGCTTCTGAGATTGTCCACAATGTTGTGGCATCCATACTTTAAGGACAGGAACCTCTGGAGTTACTGGTTCTGCCCCAAAGATGGAGAAAAAGATAGTTTTGTACTAATTATTTAAAAATTTTTGCCTGTTTACAGCCCTATTGTGAGGAATTCTAGACACTCAAGACTACAGTGCATTATGTTCACTTTCTATTTATTTAAAGAGTAAAAAAACCCACCATTATTTTGTAGCTGCATTCCCATCCCAAAACCTCTGTGGTTATGAACTTTAATGGTATAAGGATGCAATATTGAGTTTGATGAATCAAAAAAAATGACCAAAAGAATTCGCTGAAGATTAAATGAGCAAAGTGGGCTGGAATTTGACAAAGAAATTGGGAAGTACTTAAAACAAAAAAGGTGTAAAATATACCCAAGTCCTTACAAAAGAAACCCCATGAATGAAATCAGCCAACTCCAAGACCAGGGTGATTTGACCAAGTAGGTGAAGGACCAATTTCTTCCACAGCCAAATTCTGATTGGGTATATAATCAGTATTGGATATAATCAGTACTTACAGTGCTGATTGATCCTCCCTGGACATGTGAGCACACAGTACCCACAAAAGCCATTCCAATGGATCCACTGAAAGAGCTTCTCCCTCTGCAACAAAAACAGTTTGGAGGTGGTGGTAAAGATGTGTTGAAAGTTCATGATTTCTACTAAAAGACACTGACGAGTTGGAAAGAAATATTGCAAGGCAAAATTTGGTCTTCCTGAAGTCAAGAAGGAATTTATCACCACAGCAGGGTTTCATTCTAATTAATAATGAATATCTGAATAAGAGCTTGAAAATAATGATCAAGCACCTAAATCTGCTGTGTCAGTGCACTCAATTACAGAATGGCTAAGGTGGGAAGGGACCTCTGGAGGTCACCCTGTCCCTGGAGTTGATGAACTCTTAAGAATCCATTACAGTTTCTTGTCATTTTTCCAGGTTAAACCATTTTGGAAGTGCAGAGAATTTTACTCTAGGTATATTTTAATTAATATACAAGCCCAAACTCATACACATTAACACTGGCAGCATGGGTGGTTTTCTCACCAAATGCAAACTTACATTATGAGGTGACCAACATCATTTCTTGAGCGCTTCAGAAGATCTTTCTGTCTCCAAGAAACAAACCTACTCAGCACATCTCCAGCTGAACCATCCATTACAGGTATGTGGTTGGCATCTGTCCAAATCTCTAATCCAACCAAAACAATCTGGATGTTTAATGCTCTATACATCTGAAAAAAAATTATAATTAATGTCCCTCAACTGTTTTGATGGAATTCTGAAAGATGACTTCATTTCTATTGAGTAAACAATAAGCTGAACATAGTGATCAAGTCATAATTTCAGTTTCTTCAAAACTCAATACGTGATATTTGTAATAAAATAGAAACTACTGAATCCAGGCAATTTATCTGACCTACCCCATCAACATAATTAATCAGCTCCACTGTTTCCTTTTGCACTGCAGCAGGATCAGAATTCTTCATCAAAAACTGTAAAATACCATAACAATGTCAGAGGAGAAAAATTAGCAAAACAATAAAATGTATTTAGTATTGGATGATATAATTACCCTGTTGTGATCCACAACCACAAATAATTCTACATAACTTTTCTGGGGCAGGACAGCTCGCTTCTCCTGCAAATGAGAAAGCACAGGAAGTTAAGATAACGAGTTTGCAATGTTGCATTTTGTAATGTGGCCTCAATTTGTGTTAGATTACCACAGAAACCTCTCTGTGCCAGTAATTCACACCAGGTCAGACACTGGGATGCACGAGCTGAAAGGCAGCTTGTGCATTTCATGTCCTACCCACGGCTGTCCTGGGCAGCCTCTGCTCTTCCACTACACGGCTGCTTCAAGCTACGTGACATCCCCATTGTGCTGATCTTCTGTTCCAGGATTTCCTCAGCAGGGCTCCCACCAGCTCGGTGTCCAGAAAATGAAGACCACAAGGAAATGTCCTGCCAGGTCAATCCCAGCTGCAGTGATGCTGTGCCAGAGCAGGAGCCCTGCAGATGCCTTGGACTGCAGCTCAAGGGAGAAACAGAAATGTATTTACCCTGAGGAGCCTGTCCCTGCTGGAGGTGCTGTTTGATGAAAATGTGTATTTCACAGACTGCTTCTCATGCTCCAGGCTGCCATTCAGCACCCCACAGTGGAAGGGGATACCCTGCACATCTTCCAGTTCATAAAGCACATGTTCAAATGTGCTGGATGTGTTGAGGGGCTCCATTCCGTACCATCTGCCTCCAATGTAGAGAATTCCCCTAACAATCATAATAGAATGAAACATTATTTCATCATTTTTCCCTCGTGGTTATGACTAGATGAATGAATAACAGCTGGATGCTTAGACATTATGTTGAAGTAAATTATTTTAAATTATATTAATACGGGGGTAAGTTCAAGTGCCCAATAAAAGACAAACCAGAATTTATTTAAAATACTCAACAAGTGTGGATTTACTGAATTTAGACAAGAAAGTAAAAACAGAAAATGAAGCCAAATTGTTAGTAAATGAGTCTGGATTGTGAGTACAGAGCTGATGCAAAGGGTCCCTTTCAGCCCTTATCTCTATTCATTTAAAGGACTGCCAGGATATGTCCTGATTTACTGTTAGTGACATCTCTCTGTGAAACTTCACCTGAGAGGTACATGGGTGAATTTTATCCCATTTGTGATTTTATTGTATTTGAAACACAAAATATCAGTTCCAATTTGAACAAAATCATTTTCATGGAAATGGTTTGTCTTCTGAAATGTGTCCATTCATAAGACAAAGTTGTTGCAGAAGTGTTTTAAGTTCAATAAAAGCTTCATCAAGGTAAGATATTTTTTCTACAAAAGTGTCTCTGGTCACGACATTCACATCAAGTACAAGAAGCCCAGGTTCTGCCTATATTTATTAGTTTCTCTCATATTTTTCTCATATCTTTTTTTTCTGTGAAAGAATTTTGGAAAGGGGAAAAAAAAGCAGGAGTTAAGGAAAACTGTAAAACCTATAATGAGTTTCAGCTTCATCAAAAGGTGAAATATAAAATAAAAATAGGAAGAGGAAATACCTAAGGCCATCACATGTGCTAAGAGCAAGTGTGGAGTCAGCAATTCCTTCAACAGTGCCATGATAATAACAGTGTGTCTGAAATGCAACAAACCCACATGATTAGTGACACAACAAGGTGCTTGCCTTCAACTGCAAACTTATTTTCTAACTAACCATATTATTTGCATGACATCAGGGCTGGCTGTTAGAAATTTACAGAGCTCCCTGCTTGGAAAGTAATCCTGATCTTCTTGGAGGAGAATATCCCTTGACATGAGTACAGCCAGCTTTTTAGTTTAACCCATCACCATCTTTTATAAAAGTATTTTAATCTACATTGCTCATCCTGTTCTTAGAGTCCACTCAAAGGCTGCTCTGAGATCTTTCAATTAAATCTCACTGAGCTCACATGCAGTTTAGAGCTGAAATTAAATTTAGAAGTATTTCTAAGGCTTGTTTGATACCAGATTTAAAACTATAGAGCTTTGATGCTACCATTGCACCTTAAACTGCATATTATACAAAGGTGGCTCAAATTCAAGTTTGGCATAACCTCCTGGCAAATCCTTTCCCACCTTGGGGAACAGGGGAGCTGCATCTCACAAACAGCCCAGTCCCTCATGCACCTCATGTTTAGATCACTGGTAACTGTTAAACAGAAATGCTCCACTTAGAAAACTCACAAAAATCTTATTCCCAGCAAATATATTTTTTCTTGGCTTCTCTGGTTTTTCAGAGAAAATTCTGACACAAAGGCTAAGTTTATTTATTATGCACAATACCTCATTTTTGGATGGTGTTGCCTGCAGTTTCCCATTTTCCCCATATGTGTACAGCTTAAAGTTGTCACTGAGAAGTTTTCTGGAAACAAAAACAAACTACTGCTCATTTAATGATCTAGAAACAAGAAACAAGTCAAGAGTCCTGGTAAGTGCTACATTCTGTTAGCAGCACACTCAATGCCAAATTATTATTAAAATCCAAGCACATGAAACAAAATACTTTAAAACGAGCTGGAAAATATTTGGAAAATATTTTGGAAAATATTTTTAACTTATTTGGAAAATAAGTTATTTTGAAACTTACTGTTATTTGTTTTAACTAAAATATCCATAGAGAGGAATCTAAGCAGACTCAGTTGCATAAAGACCTGGCCTATTACAGGCTCAGGAATGAGGAACAAGAGAAACAGAAAAATTTCTTCAAATTCAACACAGCTAAAACTCCTCTGCCCTGCTAATAAAAAACTAATGTTGAACTGAATTCTAATTTTCCATAAGGATTTTCTGAAATGTTCTATCTTGCACTGCTAATAAAAAACCAATCAAAGTAAATTTCTTCACAGCTAGAAAAACCTATCCCCTTCTATTTGCAAGGTATTACCATAACAGAGACGCTATATTTAACATTATTTAATAGAGTTGTTTTGTAGTTGCTACAATCTGCCATTTAAATGGTTTCTTCTGAATTTTTTCAGTATAAAAATGCTTGTCTGTATGCAACTAACCCCCTGAAACAAGACAATTCCTTAGAACACTTTATCACATACTTATTTTTCTTCAGCTTTAGGAGGTATGTTCCATTTCTGGTTTTAACTGAGTAAGAAAGATTGTCATCTGAATGCTCCTGAAAACAGAACAAAAGATGTCACTTAATTAGGTGATTTTTCTATTCGGTTTTGTTAATTCCAAGTTTTGCTTGACATGAAAGGCCCAACTACTGTGCATGTTTTAAGTAAAAAAAACACAGATTCCTAACCCTCTTCCTTTCATATTTCAAACTCTCAGCAGCAAACTGAACATGCTTTCCTAGGTAAAGTTTAAATTCAATGAATCTATATTTTCATTTAAACAGGAGGGCACAGCCCATGAGTGCACTCTTTGCTAAGTACCACATCATATCTGTGACACTCCTTGTGTAAATCAGATAAATGACTCCCAGTCTTTTATCCCCTAATTGGTTTGCACAAAGATGACTAATGCTGTTTCATTAACAGTTACTTCAGTAAATTAACTCTTTATCTGGCACAAAGGTGAGTTACCTCAGAACTGAAGAATTAAGGCTCAGCTTTCTCTTTTACCTGATCTTTTAACCTGTGCCCCTCTGTGGGACCATTTTTATCCTTTGGGTGCTACATGGCTGAAATCCTCTGGTTATTATCCAAAGACCAGAACACGGACAGCATGGATGTTAGCTCAAGTTCAACATCTAATCCGACTCAGAAGAAATTAAAATATTCTGTTTTACAAGGTCATTAACAGGATTAGAAGTTTGGAAGGCACTCAGAGTACAATCACAGAGTTTGTGGGAAAAAAATTACTTAAAACTAGTTGAAAAGACTAAGAATCAGAAGAGAGAGTGTGAGGCATATTTCATTACTAAAATCTATATATACCATCCACTGTAGGTGTGTGTAATGTAGGATAATGTTTTGAAAATCAGCAACAATCAGAAGAAAAGAAAATTAGATAGAATAACAAACCTCATGAGAAAATGGGGGATGTTTCTCTCTGCCTGTCAGACTTCGAGGAATGATTATTTCTAATGTAGAAAGTCTGGACTTGTGTTCAGAGGATACAGCTGAAAATAAAGTTTGAAATTGGTAAATAATCAGAAAGGATAGGGCATTATGTTGGCACCTCCACAGTGGTGATAGACAAAAGCCTCCTCTGATCCAGCCAGAAACTGAGAAATACTTTAGGAATGATCAAACAGACTTTAAAACAAGTTACTTCATATTAAAGCTGGGGTCTCTTCTGGAGCACACAAATTAAAACTACCAAAGCATTGAAATAAAATCTTAATTCTCTCATATTCTGGATTATTAACTTTGTGACTCTGTCACTTTTTCTTCCATGACTGACACTTTTAACCCCATGTACCACAGAAAACTGGTGCAACTGGCCTTCTCCTTTCTCCATTGTCCTGAATAAGGAATACTTTTAGTTCTCCTCTGGATGCAATTTGTCCTCCTCCTATGTGGAAGAAAACTGTGGCTCACCAGGCTGCCTCCTGCCATTGCCTAATCTTGCATTTTGTTTGTTTTAGCAACAGTCAGATCTTTGCAAAAGGTTTGTAGCCTTTTACATGATATCAGAATTATCTCCAGAACAACATGCTAATGCAGGAAGCTAAAGATAAGAAGCCTGCCAAGTATCTGGTTTCAGGTAAATGGTTTTAGAAAGACAAAAACAATCTCCAGTGACTTTTTAAAAAATTGTGTGGAGTTGAATTAATCTACCTTTTTCTCATCTGCTCATCTACTGCTTTGATCAACAGAGACACAACCATTGCTTTTAAACAGAATCAACAATAACATGAGTTTTAACAATGGAAGTGGTTCCTTCCTTATTAAATTGTTCTTTTATAAAGAAACAAAGAGATTTCTTCACATTTGTAGTAGCACAAAGTCACCCTCAGCCTCCCACATTCCTGTGTAATTAATTTATAATTGCAAAAAAAGTCACACAACCAGCCATTCAAAGTGAGGAGGGTTCTCCAGTGTAATGATGATCTCTACCTGTTAGATAGCATCAGGATTTTTAAAAGGTAGGTGCAGGTAGGATATGTTTAACTGTACAGGCTGCAATTGCAATCAAAATATGGAAGCTTAGCAAACCAGTATGAAAAGAATATCAGTGCTTGATATTGTGATTTTGCTCTTAATCTTCAATAATTTCATCTAAATCACAAAATCCATTCTCTTCCGTGAGTCAAGTGTATATTGAACTAACTATGGAGATGTTATTTTAACAATTCAAACTTTGACACCTGAAAGCAGGAAACCATCTTTTATGCATGTCATAAAAATACCACTTTCTAAGAAATATTTCAGGTGTTAAATCTAAAATGTGAAGCCAAATCATAAATTAAGATAAGTTAATGAAAAATTACAATGAAATCGTAGGAATTTCCCTCACATTAATGAAGAAGAAATGTTTTTCTACAGTCTCTACTATTGATGAGAGTGACAGCAACTGCAGTTGTCACAACCAGTGAGTGTCCTGCACAGAAAATTATGTATTTATATACCTACAACATCCAGGTGGGAAAAAAAACCCACAAAGAACTCAACTATGAAAAGTTTCAAGCTGTAACCTTCCCCAAGATTCTCTCAATGAGCAGGGCTGCACAGGGAGAGCTGTGCATCATTACAATCGGGGTCCAAGCTGACTCGGAGAAACTTTCTAAATATGTAAAAAAAGAAAGCTTACCTTTTATCCAGAAAGGGTTTCCAGTAAATATTAGTCCAAAAGTGAAGAAAAATAGGCTGTGCATTAACATGACTTCCCAGAGAAACTACTCCAGCATCCGAGCTGGCTCTGGCTGCTCTGCAGGGAACCAGAAGAACGAGAACCGTCTGCTCCAAAGGTAAACAACAGAAAAAGCTCTCCAATACTGCATCTCTGCTGAGGAAATGGGAAGTAAAATTTAATCCACTAGGCTTGTGAGAAAACTGGTCAGACAGCCTAATGCAAATAAAAAGCAGCACATTCTTAAATGCTGATTGGAGAAAGAGCGTGTCCCGTGTCGGGGTCAAACTGGTTTGTTCTAAAGGACTTTCATCTCATGGTGAGATCATAAGAGATTAGAAATATAAAATATTGCTACTGAAAAATACAGTGTTTAGGATGTTTATCCTGGCTACTGCCAGCTCAATAAAAAACTAGAGTGAATCAACTAATTCTTCAAAATTTCAGATTTGTCTTCCATTTTTTCATCTTTATTTTAAAATATAATGCATATGAACATATGAAACACATGAAAATCCCCAAAACAGAGGTTCTACCCAGTCCCTTCTATGTTAAACACAATTATCCTCACCAAAAGTCCATAATTTTGTGCAGATCATCGTTCTTCCAGGATGAGAGTAATCTTCCACACAACCACGTTGTCACCAAAAGCAGAAAATAAACGCTGCTAAAACTGGATGAGTTTGCAATGCATTTCAGAAGTATCAAGCGTATTTAGAAACACAAAAATGAGACTGAAACAACACACTCAATCATTTACATTAATTAATTTTAATTAATTCCTTGATTAAAGGAGTGAAATTCAGTTTTCCTTTGCTGGTAAGTCCAATAAAACAACGCCTTAAGTGACAGAAAGCAGAATGCTGGCTGTATTTGCAGTATTATTTGTCAAAGCCCGTTCAAGTCCATTTCCCGAGAGTCACAGATGGAAAACACCCTGAACATTCCTGCACTGAGCACTGGGTGGAAGCAGAATTTGATCCCCTCATTCCCCGGGTGTGTGTCTGCCACAGCCTCAGGAGCAGCATTCCCCAACTCCTGAAGGTGAGATCCTACTGAAAATTAAATGAACCCCATCTTTTATTTATGGCCTCTTTTATTCATAGCCTCTCTCCTGTGCCATGCACTATCAGGACACAACTCGGGAGAACCCCGCTGCTCCAGGTTTTGACATAATAGCAAGTTTCACAGAATCCAAGAATCATTTCAGTTGGAGAAGCCCTTTGAGATGTTGAGTCCAACAGGGGAGCCTGTTCAGTGCTGGATCCCCACACTGTGGGGGAAGAACCTTCTAAACTCTACCCTAGACCCTGGCACAGCTTCTGCGCCAGTCTATTCTCCCAAGCAAGCAGTGACAGGACAAGAAGACAACCTCCTAAGCTGCACCACACGTTCAGGGTGAATATTACGAGGAATTTCTTATCGGGAGTGATTAAACATTGGAATGGGCTGCCCAGGGAGGTGGGGGAGTCAGAGGTGTTTAAGGAACGACTGGACGTAGCGCTCGGTGCCAAGGTACGGTTTGCACGGCGCTGTTGGGTCATGTATTGGACTACTATTGTAATCTAAGAAGTGTTTTCCACACTTAACTCCGGGTCTCTGCGTCCTCCGCCACCTCCGCCTCTGGGTGTCTCTCCCCGGGCTCTGGGAGTCGCTCACAGGGCTCTGGGTGCCGTTCCCCGGGCTCCAGGTATCTCTCTCCGGGCTCTCGATACCACTCCCCCGGCTCTGGGTGTCTCTCCCCGGGCTCTGGGTACCGTTCCCCGGGCTCTGGATACCACTCTCCCGGCTCTGTGTGTCTCTCCCCGGGCTCTGGGTACCACTCCCCCGGCTCTGAGTATCTCTGTCCGGGCTCTGGGTGCCACTCCCCAGGCTCTGGGAGTCTCTCCCCGGGCTCTGGGTGTCTCTCCCCGGGCTCTGGGTATCTCTCCCCGGGCTCTGGGAGTCTCTCCCCGGGCTCTGAGTATCTCTCCCCGGGCTCTGAGTATCTCTCCCCGGGCTCTGNGCCCGGGCCCGGGGTGAGTGGTGGGCACGGGCCGGGCTGGGGCCCGCACACGCTCGGGCAGCCTTGTGCTTTGTGTGTGCTCTGTGTGTGCTCTGTGTGTGCTCTGTGTGTGCTCTGTGTGTGTGCTCTGTGTGTGTGCTCTGTGTGTGTGCTCTGTGTGTGCTCTGTGTGTGCTCTGTGTGTGCTCTGTGTGTGCTCTGTGTGTGCTCTGTGTGTGCTCTGTGTGTGCTCTGTGTGTGCTCTGTGAGTGCTCTGTGTGTGCTCTCTGTGTGCTCTGTGTGTGCTCTGTGAGGTGCTCCTGTGGTTAGAGACCCGAGGTCCGTAACAAGGCTGAGGGAATTGAGGTTGTTCAGCCTGGTGTAGAGGAGGCGCCTGGGGAGACCCTGGAGCCGTTTCCATTGCCTAAAAGGGTTTCGAGAGAGCTTGAGAGGGACTTTGGACAAGGGCTGGGAGAGATAGGACTGGGGGGAATGGCTTCTCACTGACAGAGGGCAGGGTTAGGTGGGATTAGGAAGAAATTCCTCACTGTGAGGGTGGGAAGGCTCTGGCACAGGTTGCCAGAGAAGCTGAGGCTGCCCTTGGATCCCTGGAAGTGTCCAAGGCCAAGTTGGACGGGGTTTGGAGCAGCCTGGGACAGTGGAAGGTGTCCCTGCCCATGGCAGGGGGTGGGTGACTTTTAAGGTTCCTTCCAACCCAACGCGTTCTTGGGTTCTATGAAAGATCTGTTGTCTCTTTGTTAAGTAGTCATCTCACACTTCAAAGCACAAGAGAGAAGATTTGAAAAAGATAGTTTTATTTTCACTTTCAATACTTCCTTCCATGCTTTGCCGGGGGAAATAAAGCAATATTTCTGTTTTGTTTTGAAGTCATTACATGGCACATCTGCTGCTTAATTAGCTAAACAGAAACCAGTCGACTCAGAGCCCCAGGGAGGATGTGTGAATAATGTACTGAACCTCAAAAACTTCTCTAGTGCACAGTGCATGCACACATACAAGTAATTTTTTACATAAATATTTGATAAGATACATTACAAGTTGCATATAAGCATTAAAACTGCTCTTAGAAAATAAAATCTGCTAAAAACAAGAAACCGAAACTGCCGTTGGAAACCATAAATCTGCATTAGAAATGTGTTCCAGTCAGTCTTGTTTCTTATCTAAATATGTACCAATATAGTGTGCATTAGAAATGTGTTCCAGTCAGTCTTGTTTCTTATCTAAATATGTACCAATATAGTGTCTACAACACTAATATATGTACCATATATGGTACATATAACATGACATATATGTACCAATATATGTCTACAACAAAAAAGAAATTCTTTGTATATTGATGTCACAGCTTATTTATTTTATTTTTCTAGTGAAACTGATGAGGCTACTTTATACCATAAGTACCTTAAGTTTGAATGCCCTGCACGAGGCTACTTTATACCATAAGTACCTTAAGTTTGAATGCCCTGCACCCTCCTGTAGAATTAAGGTAAGGAGCTGAACAGCATTGCTTTATTGTTCTTTTACCCTTTTAATCATTTAATCAACTAAATTGCATTGCTCTTAGTAAAATTATTGGTTTTATACACTTCATCTGTTCACATAATTACGTAAAAATCTGTTGGCTGGTACTTTGTCTTGGCAGAGTGCTCCTTTTAAAATGGTATCTCAGTTTTCTTTCCATGAAGACTTTATATAATATAGATAATTTAGTCTTACAGAAAAGAAACATAAACCAGATGAACTGCAGATCTGTGATTAGAACTGTCAGCTCCGGGGTTAAATAAACTTGTGAGAATCATGTGGCCACAACTCTTAAAGGCTTAGAAAAATCTTTATTTATCTTTGGGGCACTCAGGTACTGTTCCAGTCAGAGTTTTATGGGATATAATAACAAGGAGAAATTGGCTTAATTTCCCTGGAAAAAGAGTTCAGCATGGCTTTTCCCAAGACTCTAAGAACAATGCATTGTCCCCTATGTACAAAGAAAACACAAATTGTTTCTTTCCCTAACCAAAGTATTTTTTTTCCTTCTTGCGATAGCTGCTCTCCTTTGGTGAGAAACACAGAGTACTCATCAGTAAAATAATTCTAGAAGTGAAAGCAGTGTCTGCAAAACTAGCAACTGATTTTCCTTCACTAGGATCAAGCATAGATCTAGACAGAGTGCAAAGTATAATGGAATCCATGGGATCCAAGTTGTCTCCAGGTGCTCAGCAGCTCATGGACATGGTCCGGTGTCAGCAGAAAGTAAGCCACTTTTCCACAAACACAAACTGGCACTTTACCAGTTAAGAATGTTCTAAAAAGATGTTTGGGGTTTTTTTAATCTGCACTTTCTGCCATTTTCATCCTGATTTACCTGTTGCCACTCGAATGAGTGCAGATTGTGTACTCCAGGACTAATTATTATTGTTGTTGTTGTTATTATTATTGTTATTATTATTATTTGCATTATTATTTGCATTATTATTTGCATTGTTATAATTTTAAGCTTCACTGCCACCCTGCTCTCCTTTTACCTGTTTCCACTGTCAGTGCTTGACAAGGATGGTGGGCATTTTCTCTAGAATATTTGGGGTGTAGATAGATGGGCTGGTTTGTCTCTTTAATGGTCATTATAACCATGTCACCTTCAACTAAAAGGAACGTGCTCTCAGAGAAAATTTGCTTTAGATCCAAATCCTGCAAGGTGGGCTGTATCAACAGATTCCTGAATCCATCTGATGTTAATCATTCAGTTTTGGGGACACAGCATGGTAAAAATGAAGTCAGTAAAGTTCTTTTCTTACTTAGACACTGACAACATAATTAACACTTCATACTTACAAGGAATGTAGTTCAAAGCTACTTTTCGAATCTTTACTAGTAGAATGCTGGGTTATAAAGTATCCATGGTTACTGCTGTCTAATTTCCAGTCTATTTGAATACTCAAATGGGTTTTTCTCCCCATCAGAACAGTTTCCCTCTTGGAGACAAACTCAGCTGGATCTTGGGGAACAATTCCAACTTTGGGCGTGACCGTGTAATAGATGGATTGCGCAGTGCAGCTCTTCAGTCATCACGGAGTCCATCAGCCACTGAACCTTTGCCTGTTAAAAATCATTTAACAAGTGAAGCCATGTATAAAGATCTAAAAATAACTCGTGATCTGAACTCAGAGGTACCTGAAAGAGGGAATACTTTGGATTCTGAAAGACTTCCTACCCAGCAAAATGCAGTTGACCTCAGGAATGATTTGAAAGTTGGGGGATCTTTGCAGGTGCAGCAACAAGCAGGTGAAACCCCAAATGTGGCCAGCCCACAGGTGCTTCTTCCTTTTCTTCAAAACTTGTGCACTCAGGTGAATCACCTTCGGCTCAAGGATGGAGAGAGGCACCTCGGGAAGAGTGCAGTGGCTAAAGAGGAAGGTGTTCAGAGTGCTGGGTGAGTTAAATCTGGTCAATCTCTCAACAGTGTTGACTGCTCATTGACAAGTTTAAACAAAATGCATAATATAAGCATTTTCTTCTCATTAGCAGCACTAGTGAGTCTTAGACTATGTGGTTTTAAAGGCTGTGTGGTGATGAGCATTACAATTTTTCAGATGAGCTGCTTGAATGTAGGAATTTTTCAGAAGAAAGCACATCATTTGTTGTTACTGAACTGTTTAATTTAAAAAGGATGTTTCTTCATACACATTTAGCTTGTCTTTCTCATCTACTCTCTTTTCATTATGATAACTTCTAGCCCTAAATTCCTACATCATCCCTTTTTCACACAATGTGACACAATCTTTCTGCTGTACTTGGTGTGTATCATCCCATTGATTTTCCTGTTCCTCCTCACTTGTTGGCATTTACAGTGCAGGTGTCACAGTTACACAGTTTGGTACCTCATGAACAATACTGGAACTCATGAGATGTAGGAATCAGGATTTAATGGAGACTGAATATCTCAGCTCCAGTATTTTTAAAGAATGCAGATGTAAACCCAGAAAGTTGTGTAGTTTGGATAACTTTTGAATAATTTTTGGTGACAAGGACAGTCTGCCGTGCTGACAGAATACAAATGTGTATATTGTTGACTTGTGTGGATTTTGTTTTATGTAACTAAGCTCTCTAATGCATAATTGAGCCTTTGAAAAAACAAGGTTGAAAGAAGATGATTATATACAATAGCACTTTTATGAAAAAAGAGATTTAGTGTGTGGCAGGGAGGGTATTTTTCTTGTGCTAAAAACCTAATGTCTTCCACAGTTCATTGCCTAATCAATGAAATTTTACATTTAAAAGATGTTCAGGTGCCCAGATCTCTGTATTGCCCCTTGTCATTAAGAAATAGGTTATTCTTATTCTTATATTTGCTCTTCTTACAGAGTGGAACAGCAGCCTATTTGCTCCTATTTGGAAAAGATCATTTCGAAAAACCTGGATCTGATGGAGAAGAAACTAATGGACTATATTGACTGCCAAATCCAGGCTCTTCAGACACACATAGACAATAAAATGTTTCTCTTGATGGACTTGGTTCAGAACTCAAAGCCAAACAAAATCTCCCAAGCACACTATGATTCTAATGAGGGGTTTTCTAATGGAGAGAGGTAGAGGGATTCAGAAGCAGGGTTTCAATATGAATGAACACTTTAAGAGTAATTACACTTTACAAAGCTTAGTATTTATGCAGTTAAAGCTATAAAGAACCTCAGTGTTGTTAACTTGCATTTTGTTACTGTAATTCTATCCACTGTTGTACACACTTGCTAGTTTTATGAAAGATCTTAAGAACATGTGCTTTTTCCTAAATATGAGAGTTTTGTATGCCCTTTGTGGCTTATTTATTTAAAGAACATTGCTAGAAGCTGTATGAACAGTTCCCCAGTTCCAGTTTGAATAATGGAGTACTCTAAATAAACTGAGTTACTGCTTATCTTTTTACCTACATGTAATCAATTCACTTTTTTGGGTTGTATTAATTTTCGTTGTGAAATGTATTATCAGTATTACAGAATGTAGTTTGTTTGTGCTTTTGTTGAAGATACTTATTGTTCCAGCTCTGAGAGGAAGGTTGGATTGTCATTTCCTGATTTGAGCAGTTTAAGGAGCTGTCTTTAGAGAGCTGGGGAAACCTGAACTCAGCCTGGGTTCTTTGGAGGCTTTGTTGGCTGTACAGGCACCTGAATTAGGAATCCAGGCTCCTTAAGAGATACCTAAAACAAGCCTCTGATACCTTTTTCCTTCCTAAACTACCCAAGTGTGCAGGAACAAGTGAAATGAATGCTTACTCAGCACTCTTTGTCCAGGTCTCATTATCCTAAGAAGTGCAAGTACTTCATTGATGGTTCCTCTCAAGTGGATGTTGTTCTCAGACTGGATGTGCTGGGGTAGCTCCAGAAGACCAGAGGAGTTTTCCTTACCGCATCACACTTCTTTTAACCTGTTGGGGTCAGTTTTGCTGTCGTTTGGGGAGGTAGGAATGTGACTCCAAATCCCTCTTCTGTGGAAGGCTGAGTTTCAAATTCCATTCTGTTTGTTGCTCTTCTGTTTGTTGCTCTGCTGGATTCTGGGGTGCACCATTTAAATTGGAGGGTGTAGGGACTTCATAGTAAACCCCTCAGCTGGGTGCACAAACATTTTTGGCAGAAGCTATTGTTGGGGAAGCAGGTGTTGACTCAAAAGCAGCATAAGCATGTACGAGCCAGTGTCCTTATTTACTCTGCCTGATATTTTCTCCTCCAGGAAAACTCATGTTTTTTGAAGACTGTCAGATCCTGATGGTAGTAAACCCACAGAAGTAGATTTGGAAGAGAGGATAATCTACTTTGAAAAGACTTCTTGCAGTTGTCCCTGATCTTAAGTCCTACCAGTTTTGGTTTTTTTTAAAGACAAAAGGATCTTGTACTTCATATAGAGATTAAAACCACTACTGCCAGAGTGTAGAAGTTGTATTGTTGCAGGTTTGGTGTTCTTTCAGTTTCCACTTCAGTGAGGGATTCTGTGTAGAGAGAAAAATTAAGTGTTTAAAGTTTAGAATAGTATATGATTTAACTGGGAATTAAATAAACTTTTTTTCAGATATTTTCATTTGACATGACCCACACAGTGCAAATCCCAAATATGTAGTACTGAAGAGTTGTAAGAATTGATAATAAAACAATCCTGCAGAACATCATGCTGTTCAGTTCTTTGGTATTGCTGCAGCCAGGTTTCTGCCAAGCAGTGCTGTCACCATGAGAGAGATTTGAGACATTTGATAAAGCAAAGCTGGGCAAAAAAAGGCAACTTGGAGTTCTGGTGGTTTTCTATCTGCTCCTCAGTAAAACTCATTCTGTTCTATAATACCTTGTGTGTTCTGTTTGCACTTGAATCCTTTTCACATTACAGATGTGTCCACTTCCACATGTATGGATGCAAAATCTTTCACTATTCAAATAAATGGGAACATACCTAAAATGTTGCTAGAGTTTAGAAAGTTTAATAATTTTAAAGAATTGTTCTAAGTACTATTATGAGCAAGATTAATTCTAAATATTACCTAGATGTGATACCTGAAAGCAAGTGGCCCAATTGCTTTTCTCAGGTGGAGCTTTGGGCTCCATTAAAGTGAGAGCAACAAGCACAGTGGGAGTAGCAATTCAAGCTTTTAAAAACAGCTTTTCCATATTTTGTAGTTTCTATTTGGTCTCTGTACCTGACCACTGTAGATCAGACTGCAAATGGCACCAAAGCTGAGCTGTCTTACAAACATCTCTACAGCTCTAATTTAAAGGCTTGGTTTCTGCTCCCAGGACTTTATAGAGACACCACTGTAAATAAATAAAGACATTTTATTCCTGTTCTGGCCAGTGCATGCAGTGGGAGGATTCAACCTGGCCTAGAGTGAGTCAGCTGTGTTTATTATCTGGAGTACCAACACTAAAACTGAGTGAAGCACATGCATGCATACATTTATTTCTTATTTTTCCCTCTTACCTGAGTGCTCAGCAGTCCTGAGATGTCTTTTCAAGCAGATGGGACCCAGTCCAGTGTTGGTTTTCTATGTGTATGGAGAGATGGCTCTTTCCTGCCGGGAGATGCAGCCTGGAGAATGGATTTGGGTGTGTTGGTGGGTGAGAAACTCAGCATGAGCCAAAAGTGTGCATGTGCAGCCATGAAAATGAGCGGGTGTGGGCTGCCTCAAAAGAAGGGAGATGAGGGAGGTGATTCTGCCCCTCTGCTCCAGGAAGGAGAAACCAACAGGAGCTTGGTTTCTGCCACCTTCATTTTGACATCTCTCCCTTTAGGTTACCCTGGGCAAGCAATTCCCTGTCCTTGCTGAGGATTCCTCAGGTTGTGAAGTGCAACTGTTGTAAAAGAGTTGTCATGATTATATTGCTGAAACACCCAGGGATAAGCAAAGCCAGGTTCATGTTTGTCACAGATTAAAAGAAGATTGCACTGCAACATTGTTTGCGGACAGAACTTTTTTAGTTCTGAAAGAACCCACACTAGGAACTACAGAAGGCAAAAGGAATCTGCCTTTCCTACCTGAGGCAAGGGAACAAGCACAGTCCTGAAATCCTGAATTCCTTTCAGCACAGCTTTAACAAAATACCTGTTCCACTATATTCACTCTGTTTTGTCTCATGAGGACCAAAGCTCTGAACTCCAGAGTTTTTCTCAGTGCAGCAGTGAGTCCCCAGCCTTTGAAGCTCCTGGGGTTGTGGCTGTGCCAGTGCCCCAGGTGTGCTGGTACCTGGCCTTGGGTCAGGCTGGGAGCAGCCAGGGCTCCAACCCAGGCAGCACAAACCCCTCAGCTGTGCAAAGAGGGCTTCTTCCAGCTCTCCTAGAAAAGCCAAGACCTTCTTGAAGCACAGCCAGGTGCTTTTTTTTTCATAGTATTATTATTTTTTTTGACAAAACCATTTTCTTTTGTAAGCAAATGGATATATAATGCATTTGTAGTGCTACTGTATTTATTGTATGTACGTATGCTACTCTATTAGTACTATTAATACTCTATTAATGTATTTCTAATCTCAGACCTATGCCTTCTTTAAAACATCTCTCTCTGATTTTTAACTCACTTTAAGGATTTTGAATGCAACTGTCTCTTCACACTGAAACGTACTTACACTGCCTTTAAGTGTGGAGGCATTGAATACATGCTTAAAGATACTGCACAGCATTTGAATTCCCTTTGGTTTCTGGAAATGCTAAATTTGCATTTACTCTGTGTAGCCTTTTATTTCTTAAACCCACACACATACTTGCAAGGAATTTTCAAATGTTAACATCCCTTTTTGTGACTGGCTGTGAAGCTGCAGTGAGTGTGGGAGCTGGCATGTGGATCCCTGCCAATCAATGCTGTGTCCATCAGAACCAAATGCCCTTTAAATCATTATCTGTGAGAAGCAGAACACAGGGTTATCAGTGTGGTGGAGTTTTGTATGAACTGAGCATGATTACAACTGAAGGAACACCGAGAGGGAAACAAAGTCTTGATGAAAAAAAACAGGCAGTTGATCCAAATATTATTTGTCACTGAGAGTATTTACTGAAATTTAGGCTTTTACAAATCTGCTGAATAGATCTGAAAGGTCTGAAATGAAAGAACCCAAGTTCAGCTAAGATTAAGTACCTTTAGATTTACACCCACTAGTATATTTTTAGAAGTCAGCAGCAGATCTTGGAACACAATGAACGGGTCTAGAGGCAGTCAACATGACGTCATGGTCAGAGGCATCGTTCCTATGAGATAATGATAATAACTCTGTCACTTGCACTTCTCCTGGCTCTCCTAGGGCCTGGGTAGCCAGGGAAATGAGGGCCTCTGTTCCCTGGGAAGCGCTGGGGAGGATAGAAAGGCCTGTCCCTTGGGAAAGGTCGGGGAGGAGGAAGAGGGGGCCTGTCCCTTGGGAAGGGTTGGAAAGCAGAAGGTTGTGCGTTGCACCCTGATGCTTTGCACCGTAGGCAAACTCTGGGGTGTACAGGAGCTCTGTAATGGAACTGGACAAGCCTCTGGCTTGGTGAAAGGTGATTCCCACAGCTTGGGTCCTTCACACACCTGAAAAAGGAAATAAAACCATCAACCCCACATATAAATTGTCATGTAATTATTGTGACATGCTCACTAAGCCCGTTTGTTTCCTTGGCTGCAGGAAACTTTCTTCCAAAAATGTCCAGCTGTGATGTTAATCTGAACTCCTGAGCACAAATGCCACTACATGGAATTTGAATATCTGTTGGTGTAATGTGCATCTCAACACATACAAATTTCACAAGTGTAAAGCACCTCGTGAGATTTTGTTAATGTCTATTAAATCACATTATAAACTGTAAAGTGATGAGTTAGTGGAATTTTACTGCACACTCTGCTATGTTTCATGCTTAATTAAAACAAACTAAGGGATATCCCAACCCTGAAAGAAGGATTTAGTATTTTGGAAGCTTAGAGCTGCCTGTGAAGGATTCCCCTGGACAGCCAAGACAACACCAGCATCCCAGCCCCTCTGACATGTCTTTGAAACCCTGCCATCATCATCTGGTGCCATAAACCAGTGACTCCAGCAGGAGTGGCTCCAGGGACATCTGGATCAACAGACTTGCACCAAGAATGCTGCAGAAATAGTGAAGTTTTCCAAAATTTTAGTGTGATTAGTAATTGGTCGTACAGGTATGACTGAATAGTCAAATCAATTTGTGCCTGAGCATTTGAAGGGTGTAAGAAAATTGTGTGAGATCATGTTTGGGGTATCTGACATGCATGAATAAATATTTACCCTTCCAGTGTTACTCTTGGCATCCCAGGTCTCCTTGGCTGGCACACTCTATTTAGGTATGACAGCAGCATCAGCCTCACGGATGGAGGCAGGGGAACAACATCTGCTGCAGAGGAAGGAACTGGATGTTAAAAATCCAGAGGTGAACACAGAGCAAAATGCAGCACACATTAAATACTGGCTTTGCAAATTTAAATGTGGGCCTGGAATAGCAGCTGAGTGGAGAGGAAATGGATTTCTCTCCCTTTGGTGATGTTCCCTTAAAAGCTCATTTCTCCCTCCTACAACTAGCAGCTCACCCCAAGGTAACTCCTTGGCGTTGTTCTCTCCTGGCAGAGGATGAATTTTCCAGGATCATGAGATGTCTCTGCCTGTGAGCCCTCCAGAGCACAGGGCAGGCTATGGGAGGACATTTCAGGCGTTTTTTAACCATGGATGATGCAGACCTGGGCCAGCTCATCCCCTTGGCACTCAGCACTGAGGAGGGTTCTGCTGCCAGCCCTGTACAAGCAGCCTGTGATCCCTGGTTGGGCCATGGCATTCCCAATCTCTCTGCCTGCATCCAGCCTCTCCCACTTCCCCTGCACTCAGTGAACTGCCAGCCCTTCCCAGCTCACATCTCTTACCCAGAGTATCCTGCCCTTAGGAAGAGAAGCCATTAAAAAGAAGAAAGAATCAAATAGTTTACCTGAGCCTGTAGTTGCTGCATCTGTCTTTGGATGGGTTTCTCATGAAAAAAAAAATTAAAAATAAAAAAAAAGGTTAAAAAGTGACCTGATAAAACTATGTGCTTTGATGCCATCAGTTAATAAACATTGTAATGAGCAGAACACATTAGGAGTAGGAAATATTATTAGCAACAGTTCTGAGGAATAGAATTGTCATGGACAAAGGTTTCATACTAAGGAAAGTGTGGAGGCTTGAGTAGTACAAGTGATATTACTGGCATTAATGGGAACAAGATTTAATTCTGTTTATCCCTCTGTGTGGGGTGATAATCCCCCAGGCTCAAATGTCTGCTTTGCAGCTGAAGTTCAGTTTCTTGCATGTTTTACCAAAGCAGCCAAGTGCCTTTTATCAAAGTGTAGCTGATATGGTCAGACTCTCAAAGAAACCCTTGGTCTGCTCTCTAAGAACGTTATTGATTAGCGAGCAGAACTTGCAATTCAATTTTTTCAAAAGATAAAGCCCACTGTGGAAAACTAAGGTTCAAATCAAATACCACTGAATATGTCAACAGGATTCCCACTGACTCAACTTCCAGTGGGGATGTGACTTTGAAAGCACAGGGAGACTGACTTTCTAGGAGTGAGGTGATCTAGAAGAAATCTGAATATATGTTGGTGTAGTGTGTCTGCCCCAGTGAATTCCAATTCCTTAGAACTTTCAGCAGAGCAGGTATTCCTCCCACATCAACACCAACAATTCAGGTCCCTTGATTTGTATGGAAGCCAGAAGAATTATCCCCAAAGTACAATATTAATTTCATGAGATGATGCATGCAGTGGAGACAAGGGAGGCTTGCCAGCACAGCATCAGATCCCAGCTTTGGTAGAGGATTAAGGGTATAAACCAGGGTAAATCTGCATCACTTACTACTGTCAATGGCTGTTGTTTCAGGAGTTGGAGCAGGTGAGCTTGTCACTGTGAGAAGAGAAAAGATGAAGTTAAACATTGTCCATGTTCTAAAGACACAGATGACTCACATGAAATACAGTTCACCACAGCTGAAGAAACAGCCAGAAATAAATACCTGGGTTTTCAGCTGTTGTGGGCTTGGTTGTGACTGTCAAAGAGAAAACAAAACCACACTTCATTATCTGTTCCATTATTGTGTGGGCAAAGCCAGGGCTGTCAAGGGGGAGTGGTGCAGGATTTTATTCAAGCTGATGCTTGATCCTGAAATTCTGACCAATGTCCTAAAGTCATACACACCTGCTGCTCCAGGTGTTGTGTCTTCTGCAGGGGCTGGTCAGAGACACGAGAGAAAACAGAACTGCAGGTTAAAAACTGTTCTCCCAGCGCTGGGCAGGTGAGAGATACCCAGACCTCAGGGGACTTGCAGGTCTCTCTTGAGGGCTGGACAATGGTGCTGCTGCCCAGGGCAAAGTTCCAGAGTGGGAGCAGCCCCAGTGGCAGGAAAACACATCCCTGTGCTGCCTCTGCCAGGCTCTGCCAGCTCTGGGAGCCTGGGGCTGTTTGCTGAGCTCCAGTTTGGGGTGGATGGAGTTTCTGACACGCAGGGCTGTGGCTGCCTTGGTGGGCACTGGATGTGTCCACTCCCATGGCAAATACAGCCCAGGGCGTGCAGGGACTGGGATGCAGCCCTGGGAAGTGCAGGAAGGCTGATTTTCTGGGAATGGGACAATCAAGTGCAAGAGTGAGTTTATACTGATGTCATGTGTCTGTTCCTTCCTGAGTGCTTTCATCAGGGCCAGCTCTCCTCCTTTGCCTTTTGCTCCTTTATTGGCTGGAAGCCAAAGGAAAGGCAATTGGGATTATCTCCAGCTCCAATCCCTGAGATTATATCATTATGGAGACAGGGAGGCAGTCAATACCTGACCAGAGCATGTTTAGACAACTAAACATATAAACGAGAGCAACACTGTATTATTTATTATTTACAAGTGGTAGTGTTTGCTGGAGCAGCAGTGGATGCTGCTGGGAGAAAGAAAATATGAATTTAAATATTGTCTGCATGTTAAATGTATATTTTTTCCTCTGACACCCATACCATGTAGGCCACAGTTACTCTTTATTGCTTACCAGGGGTAATGTCTGCTGGTGCAGGACTAGGAGAGGCTGCTGCTGTGAGAAAGAAAAGGTGAAATTAAATTTTATGTGCACGTTAAATGTATTTATTTTTTCCCCAAGACTGATAGCATGTATACCTCAGTAATGCCATTTTACTTACAAGTGGTTACATCTGCAGCTTCAGCAGTAGGAGAAACTTTTGCTGTGAAAAAGATTAAATTAAATATTGTGTGCATTTTAAATGTATATTTTTTTTCTCCAGGACCCATAGCATATGAGCCAGAGTAATGCTGTATTACTTAATACAGAAAGAAAAGGTGAAATTAAATATTGCTTGCATTTTTAACTATGTCCTTTTCCTCTGAGACCTACAACATTTCCTGTTTATAGGAAATTAGGGCTGAGATACAACAGTGATAGAGCCTAATTTTTCTGGGATAACTTGCAATTTAAGGGTTATGGCTTGGGTTTGTTTATTTCCCATCCTTTAAACACTGCCTGGTTCAGCCTGTCCCCCCATCCTTGCTGGCTCCCTCACATAACAGAGGCTTGGCACAGCACCGCTTCCCCAGAACAGTGGCAGAGCTATTTCCTCAGCTCAGGCTCATTTCTGAGAGCTGGCCACTCACAGAACACTCCACACATTTATCTCCCTTTCACAGGGAAAGGCTTTCAGAGATCTGAAGTCCCAAATTAGTTTTATGGGCCTGGAGTGTATTTTTCTTTCAGAGAGGGAACTCAGAGACGGCGCCAGCAGCATAATTGGGGTCCCTGCTGGTTTGTGGCCATCATCCACGTGCACACACCTGTCTCACCCCTTGAGAGGTACCAGGTTTTCATTCTGGGAGCTTCTGCTGTCACCTGGCAGCTGGTTGTGACCAACTAATGCACATCCATCCCTGGTGAGGGCTGTTTTTCCTGGGACTCCTCGTCCTTAATTCCTTTTTGCTGGCCATGATCAAAGCTCCTTCCACCCCAGCACCGTGCCAAGCATTTCCTTCTGCAGAAGTTCTGGCTGTGCAGAACTGGCAGCAGCAACGTGCTTGGCTCCTTCCCCAAGATCTAATTCTAAACAAGACTGCCAAATATGAGATAATTGAGAGAAATGCTAATTAACCTGTTAATCCAGGTGCTGAGTATTCATCGGGGATGGTGAAAAGTGTTAAATAGAAAGTTTAGCACTATTTCAAGGCTGCTTTGGCTGTCTAAATCCAGGTGGGGATAGTGAGAAAGAGGAAGATTAAAAATTCTCTATTTGGATCTAGGCCTTGAATTGCAGGCAGAAGGAAATTTGTTGTTATTCAGCTGATATTAAAAATGGTTTTATGGGATGGAGGCAGCTTTCCCATAAAAGTTTTTAAATCAATTGATTATTTAATTAATCTAAAATATCAGCAATCTAAAACTTTCAGGGGGACTTTATCAGCCAGTAAAGAACTGATTAAGTAATAGCCTCAAGAATCTTTAATGTCTTCTTGTGGGCTGACTACAGACAGATGAACAGACACTTCTCACTATCAGTAAAAGAAAATAATCAATATCTGTATCTCTCTAAAGAAAATTCTTTGTTAAGTGTAGGATATAATCAAAGGAATCAGTGAGCACTGAATATTCCTGAGACTTTAACACAGTTCACCTTCATTACGTACAAATTGAAGTAATAAAGTTAGTAGAGCTGGAAAGGAGCATTTTTTCCCTTTAACCATTGAACAGCATCCCTGTTACACACAGTGTGGAGAAGATGAAATTGTCTGAACAAGGAAGGCAAGCAGCAAAATCTGACCAGAACTCTGCAAAAGAATCTTCTAAGAAGGAAAATTTTTGTTTCTATCACTTTGAAAGTGGAATGACTGTCAGGAAAAAGGCAGAAAAAGAGCAACTGATAATTCTTCACTGCCTGGTGAAATTGTGGTTAGAATATTTTTTTAATACCTAAAAATTGTTTCATAAATTCATTAAAGCATTAATTCATTAAAAGGTTGCAAAGTGTACTGGGGAATGGATGCCAGAGTAAGAGTTTCCAGAAAAGAGCATGGGAAAAGGAGGGTGTGGGCACACACTGCAGCACCATCAGCTGTACCTGGCTCTTTCTCAGCTTCCTTCACTGTAGGCTGTGGTGCTGGAGTTGTTGATGGCTCAGGGCTGCTTGTGGCTGGGGCAGAAGTGCTCAGATTGTCTGCTTCTGTGACAGAATCATCTCCTGAAGCTTTGAGGGAAGAAAAGCAGGAGAAACAATAAAAAAAATATTGGCCAACATGAACAGGAACCACAGTTGAATTTTGGTTAAACTGTTTGGATTTGCCATGTTGCTAGAAAAGCACAAAGTCTTTATCACCACATAACACCACAATAAATCAATATTTAGTAGTTGGATATTTAAGCTTCTTAGCTTAGAGAACGAAGCAATATGTTCATAGCCCTCCTTATTAAACTTCTTTGCAATATTTTTGCACACAGTCTGGCTTTCCCTTGGCTCACTTAGGCTCCAAATTGATTTTGCAACTCAGACTTTGCCTATGTAAGCTGTGCTTAGGATTCCTGGTGTAGTTATTGCCTCGGGCTCCTCATTCACTGAAGTGGATGCAAAGGAGGAACAGAGGTTTTGAAGGGAATGTGAAAGTGGTGAGAAAATACACCAGTCAGTGATAGAAAATGGAGCTGATGACTGCTGATGTGCTTTTGATTATATCCTTGAAGGAAAAGAGACTTGAATTGTAGCCTCTAAAATCTGGTTATTCGAGTCCAAATACTCAGGTGAAGTTGTACTTTGTTAATATGAATATAAGCTGGACTTTTCTTCAGTGAGACAATGAGCTAGCAGTTGATCTTGAGGTTTATTCATTTACTTTAATCCTATCAAAGTAACCTATTTGGAACAAACTCAAGCACTTTTGATTATATTTTATGGCATTATGTCTGTATCTTACCTTCAGCCAGTGTGGAAAGGATTTCTTTAGCTGAGGTTGTCGCATCCACAAGTGCAGCAGGTGACAAGTCTGATCCTGAGGAAGAAATTGGAAACAAGAGGGAAAGAGCTCTCAGGTAAGGCTGAAATCAGCTCCTGATGAATTCAAACCATGCCCCATGAGCTGCACTGAGAGATGCTGATTGTGCAGCACATTTTGGCTTCTCACTGAAGTCCCTTCCTAACCACGTTAAAAACCATGTTTTTCTGACATGCTGCATGTTGTGCAAATGCCCTTTTCCTGTCTGTGGAGCAGTTCCTGATGTCCTGCTTTGCTCTGTGGAGGTGGTGAAAGGGAAGGAGGCTGAAAGGATGAGAAACTAAATGGTTGCAAGCAGCAATTAAAAGCTTAAGAGTGATTTCAAGAGCTTGTGACTTGATTTAGGTCTCAGGTTTAATTACAAAACTGATTTAGTGGGTGGTGTCCCTGCCCATGGGAGAGGGTTGGATCCAGGTGATCTTTAGGGTCCCTTCCAACCCAAACCATTCCATGATTATCAGTCTGATGAATAGCTGGAGAGGCTCATCCCCCAGCTGAGGGAAATGGGTGAAAATGCCTGTCTATGGCCTTAAATGTTTCCAGAGCTTTTATGAATTTTGAACTCACAGAATAACAATGATCTGGACAGTTTTTCTTTGCAAATTTTTAAAAAAATGTATTCTTTATAGCTACAACTCAGAGGTATAAATCAGTAAGTGTGTGTATCCCTGCTGTGTCCTGACAGACTGGTATTTTTCAAGTGAAGATGTTGTAAGGGGATTGTTCCTTCACAAAAGAGGAACTAAGGAAAACTACATTGTCTGCTATGAATATTTACAGATTTATATGGTCACATCTTAATTTAGCTGAAACTCCCAAATTAACAGAGTATTTATTTTAAGAAGCACATGTGAAATGGCTCTTCTTACCTTCATCAGCTGTGGTTGGGATTTCAGGAGTCGATGTGGTAGTTTTCTCTGTGGCAGTAGCAGCTGCAGAAGTCACATCTGGGGCCAGTTGGGGAAATACAAAACAGAGAGAGTTTGGCAGCAATTAGGAGTGAACATGTGAATGGGTCTTGATAAATAAATTTGGGCTTTATGGGGCAATGAGTCATTGCAAAGCCTGCTATTTTTGATTGCAAAAAAATTACTTTCACCTCCTTTAATATTTACTAACAAAGGCAGTGGGTTTGTTTTGTTCCTCACTGCCTTGTTTTGCTCCTAGAGGTGCAATAATCATTTGGAAAGGTGCAAAGGAGCCATTGTAAGGGAGATTAAAGCATGAGATTTGTCCTGTGCTTTGGGAGTGACATCCAGCCCCCTTCCCTCACCTTCCTTGAGGGTTTCCACGGTCCCTGGAGCAGGAGATGTCTCAGTCTGTGCTGGGGTTGGGCTGGGAGCAGGAGAGGAACCTGCAGAGACATTGCAAGGGTCTGTGACATCATTCACATTTTGGGTTTCGTGGGACAGAAAGATCCCTGGACTTTAACTTTTGTTCATGTGGCTCAGCACAAGCTCTTCCAGCACTGTCAGTGAGTTTGGGACACTTGGGTTCCTCCCACCTCCTTTAAACAAATCGCATCTGTTGCTCTAAATTTCCACACGTGACATTTGCAGCTTGTTCTTCACCCTGGCCTTTGCCAGCAGAAATCAGGGGTTCTGTGCTAGTTGTCACAGTTGCTGCTATGTTAAAACCTTAAGAATAAATGGTTTGGGGAGCCAGCTTTTCATTTCTGTGTCACATATAATAAAACATAGCGATTCTATGATTCTATAGGGTAGAATAAACTGCATTTTAACACCTGCTCTTCTATGACTGGGTATTATGAAGAGTGTAATTAACACCTAGAAACCCCAAGAAACATGAGTTTGTACTTTAAGGTTTCCAGGGTGTTATGATTATTTCAGAAAAAAAATGGAATCAGAAACTTAGACCTGGAGTGTAAAGACTTGCTTCATGTTTTCACTAATTATTAGTAGGTAAGTGGCAAATACAGTTTGTATTAGCAATGCAAAGAAATAATGAAAATATAAAGAAGTAATGTTGCAGTGGATGGAATAAATAGTAATTTGGACCAATAACTTGTAATTCAGAGCATGTGCCTTTGTAGAAAACTATTGCAAAGATCATCATTACATGATGTAATCATGTGATTTTTTGAGTTAAAAATTAGATTCTGAGCACTGGGGAGATTGCAAAGAGCTAATTTTGGGAGTCCTGTCCCAAAAGCTCAGCCTTACCTGTTGGTGCAGCTGTGGAGTGCATAGCATCTGTGAACAGCAAAAAACAGACATTTACCTTATTGGGCAGTTATTTATATTATACATTTATGACAAGAATTATTTTTGTTTCCACTCACACATGCCTGCTTCACAACTGGATGGGCCTCTATTTCCTCCTTATTCTTTGCCTTTCATATCTTGGGGGTTGGCTATAATCAGATGTTGACTAAAGCTGTCCTGAACTACCTGCTTTTCACTGTTTTCATACTCAGGGCTCGCTGTCCCATCTTGTTATTTTTTTCAAGGTATCCTTTTGCTCCTCAGTCACTCAGACTTAAACAGAAGCAGCCCCCCCACCTCCACTTTTCAACCCTGGCCTGATTTCCAAGCTCTACCCTGATGTTTTGTGCATTAAAGGAACAGGATAGTACAATTTTTCTTCTGATTACTTTAATTTTTACCTGAGCAGATGACACCAACATCCTCATTGAGTCCACAGTTGTGCTTGCCCCAGCCGGCGTGCCGGCAGTCCCAAAGGTGGGATTCAGTTCCTCTACACTGCACATCATCCAACTGGATAATTTTTCCACTGAGGCCAAAGTAAGACAGTCCCAGGACAGAGACAGCTTGGCCACAGTTAAGTTGTCTGCACACAACGTTGGCACTGTTCATACTGAAATAATCATCACAGACCGAGCCCCATTTTCCATCATGATAAACTTCAACCCTCCCGGCGCATCGGTCCCCTCCAGATTCCAGTCTCAGCTGTGGTTGTGGTGGAACTAAAGCAAAAGTTGACAGGTGAATCTCAATTTGCTTATTTATAGCTAAATCTCTGATGTCTAAATTTGAATCCCCTGATCTACCCTGGTAGGGCACGGCTGGCTGTGCTGCTGAGGCACAGCTCACCCACAGCTGGCTCGGGGAGCTCTGCACATCTGCAGGTGCCTTCACACTCAGGAGCACGTCTCTTACCTTTGGGCTGAAATTTGTCTTTAATCCAATTGGAAAATTTGTCCCATACTGAATCTGAGTCTCCATCTGGCTGGTTCCACCAAGCTCCGCTTGCTGTGGCAGAGAATAAAACGTATTGACCCTGAAGTAATACATCATACTCTTGTTTTGTAAATAATCCAAACAGCCAGCCCTTAATCTACACTCTGTGAAATCATCTCTTTTTGTAAGGGATTGGCAAGACTTTTTTTCATGGTGATAAATAAAGCTCAAATGATCTCATTCAAGATTATAAATCTGAAGGAACATGTCATGCAGAGCATATTTCCACCTGGGTCTGGCAGACTTCTCTGTGTTTCCTTCCCCTCTTTCTCTACATTTTAAAAAGTACAGCATAGAATAATTTTAATTAAAACTAGAATATCAGAAGAAGAACATTTAGAAAACAACTTCCACAAGCTGTTTCCCTCACGGAAAAGAAACAAAAGAATATTCTTCAGTCTTCTTCAGTCTATAACCTTCATAGTTTATATTCTGAAATATAGGATCTTAATATAATATTACATATATTGTACATATTGTATTATGTATTTTGAAATACCTATGTTTTGAAATACATATATTTTGAGATACATATATTTTGAGATACATGTGTTTTGAGATACAACCTTTGGATTTGGACTGAATCTTTGAAGTAGAAGACAAACCATCAATTCTACGTTATGAAACTCATCAGCAGCACTCAAGGACAACCTTTGCTGCCACTTCCCATCAAGCCAGCCTGTATTAGTAAATAATTCTGTAACATTTCCCTGCAAGGATGAAAAGATTTTCAAGGCAGTACCTGGTGGAGACAGGAGAGTGGTGCTCAGCAGAAGCAGCCAGGTGAGACGCACGTGAAGGTCCATGGTTGTTGGGGATGGTCTGCCCTAGCCCAGCACAGCTGCAGAATTTATACCAAATGGGTTCTGGTCTGCATCAAAGGCGGGTGCTGTGCAACCTGATCCCTCTCCCTCAACTTCCAGATGGATGCCAAGGAAGTGATTTAGTGAGGATTTTCCTTTCACAGGGTACATCCAGACACCCGGATGAGATCACGGAGCTGTTCCGGACTGGCCACCGAGATCTTCCCAAACACTCCCCGGGCACCTTTGTGGGCCTGTGTTGATGGTGTGGCTGTTCCAGGAAGCAGTGATTTACTTTTGGAGATTAGGCTGTTTGGTAAGGATTCTCATGCCACCCATTAAGACAGTTTCAAATTTACAACCATATTAACCAGATTAAATTGGCGTGGGGATTGTGCCAAAAGATTAGCATCCTAAAAGTGTCAGGCAAGCCTCAAACAAATTCTCTTTGCTTGCCAAAATTACTCCTGTAAGAAGCAGTTTTTCTTATTTTCCTGATTCTCTTTAACCTGGGAGATCTCTCCAGCGTGTTTCAGATGTGCAGTTCTCTCTGTCTGATTTGCAGCCCCCAGAGCAATAAAAAAGCTTCCAGTCTTGTCCCTGGCATGAAGTGATGGTGTCAACACCACCATGGCCTCTGATATCCTAAAGGATTCCTCCAGTCTGCCTCATTTTGTCCTGTCAGGGAGAAGGGACTCAGCTACAGAGAGTAAAAAAACAAACCTGAATTTTCTTAGCTGAATTAAAAATGAACATAAATCCTTTCTTTTCATGAATGCTTTTCTTACTTTCACGGCACAGTGCAGCTCTATTTGGAGCCCTGATATGAGGATAGAAGGTGACATGGAAGGAACATGGCTGAACACAAAACTTTAGTTGTTAAGAAGCACCAAGGTCTGCTTTTTCAGCATTCCTCAGTCTCCTTTACAAAACAGGTCCCAAGGAAGTCATGCAGAGGGTTAATCCTATGTGCCAGGAATCAGCAGGGATAACAGGGCTGACCTTTGTGGTTTTGGAAGAGCAAATCTATTCCCCAGAACACTTGAAAGATATCTATCAAAATCTACTCCTAGGAAACAAACAGGGTTTGTAGTGAAATAATTTTGGGCTGGAGGTTTGGTGTAAATCTTTCTTCACAGAGTGAAGTTTTGCTGCACTGGCAGATCTCCCCTCCCTGGAAATAATTTTATTTAGTGTCATAATTTCTGTAAGAGGCTAAAATGAGAGGGGAAAGGCGGAGTTGTTCTGGTGGCTGCTGCCGCTGGAGGGCAGAGGGGCCCCGTCCTTGGGAAGAGAACACGGGGCTGGGAAAAGATGCTCCAACATCTCAGAGCTGCTGTGGTGCCCATGAAGACACTCCACCTCTGCAAATCCCCTAAAAGTACATGTATTTGTAAGGAATTCCACTAATGTCTTTTTGAAGGAGTAAACTAGGGCTGATTGCCTTTCTTCTGTGCCTGTTTATTTCTCATTGCCTGGGGAAAAAGCGAAATCACTGATGTGTGTGAACTCACAGCTTTATCCCATGCTATAGCAATGTATTTGTCACTGCTTTCAATATCACACTGCACTCCTGAAAGGTGTTCTTATCCCATAAATCCTGGCTTTTGCTGAACCCACAGCATTCCCAGCAATCTGGGGAGGGCCATTTCCAGTGTCTTGCCACAGTGGAGGTGTTCCCAGTGCCAAACTCAATTCTACACCAGCCCCTTCCCCAGTTCTGTCCCCTTCCCTGGACACACTCCAGCCCCTCAATGTCCTTCTTATCCTGGGGACCCAAAGCTGATCCCAAGGTACCCCTGGCACAGGGGGTGCTCACTGCCCTGGCCACACCTGTGCTGGAACAGGCCATGATTTCTCTCTGACAGCTTTTCCACTAAAGTCCAATCAGTTCTGAAGTGAAAGGTGTTTTTGAGGAATGATTAGAGGAAAGGCAAATCCCAGCTGAAGTAAATCACATCCTCAATAACATAACCTGCAAAGCCATTGCCTGTACTTATAGTGAATTTATTGTAAAGTGAAAACTGTGTATGAAGCCACTGTCCTTGGGCAAAGCTGAGTGTGGAGTGCTGGATCCAGCTTCCCAGCTCCAGAGGAGAATTCCCTTGGGATAAGGATGTCACATCCAGCCTCTGGAAGCCCCAGTGAGGGAAAATCTTTGTCAGAGGTGAAGGCTGTGCCGAAGTCGGGGGATGTCCGTGACCTTGGCCCCACACATGGCAGGAGAGGTCATCTCCTCCTGTTCCCCAGCTAAGGCTTTGTGTCAACACACCTTGCTTGCCTTGGCACGTGCTGCATTCCTGCAGCTTTTCCTGCTTTCCACTTTCGTGTGGACAATGGTCTTAGTGGAGAGCTTGTCTCAGCTTCCAGCAAATCCCTTTGACCTCAGCAGTGCCATGGGCAGGGTCACACAGAGTGCCACCAGCGCCCTTTGAGCATTTGTCATCACAAACACGGGAGTGGCCTTGGGGTGCCAGGGACTGAGCTGTCACTTCTGCTGCCTTTAAATTGAACTTAAATTTTGGTGGCAAAGGCAGTGAGGCACATGAAGTGTGCAGTGTAACTCACTCCCAGATGAGCAGATAAAACTCTGTAGGTTGCCAAAGTTAAAGTGATTTATTCCCAGCCGAATAGCGGTTATGAAATTAGTTGTAATTAAATAAATTACCTGTGTTAGACAAATGATAGTGGGTATTTATTGATATACTTACAATGAAGGATTTAAATTAATAGAGCAAAATCAAGGTTCAATTCATTGAGACAAGGGTGACCAAGACATGAGGTTAATGAAGCCAAAGCAGCACAGTGTCACCATGACTTCCTTAAAACTGCATTTTCTTTCCTCCTTGCAGTTTAATATCACTTAAGGGCCTTTGAGCTTCATAAGGAAGTGCAAAAGTTCTCTTAGGATTTTTTTGTGTGAGGCAAATCCAGGTAACAGAATATTAAAAATGCTTTTCTATGTAACACCTTTCCTTTTAAGACTTGAAACTTTTAACAATCCGATCCAGTGAAGAGGTTTTTCACACACAAAAGGCCACATCCTTTCAGTCCTGTGGCAAATCAGATTTATACTTAAGTTTCATATATTAAATCTCCTTAAATATTAAAAATCTATGGTTAACCTCATGAAAACTCAGGTAAATCAAAATTACTGCTTTCATTGTGGTCAAAATACACTGTATTTTAAGTTTTTCCTCAGGCATAAACTATTGAAGAAACTAAATAAGGTGCAAATCAGTCATAATTTAAAGATCAACTTTTTATGGTAGTGAATTTTTTTCAAGATAGAAATGTTTGAATAAATACAAAATGAAAATGCCAGGTATTTCAGTTCCCATAGGAGCTGTCAGAGGAGGAAATAAACAAAACATACATTTTAGCAATTACAGTTTCTATAAAATTAACTTTATTTTTAGAAGAGCTTCTTCACCCAGAGGGTGGTTGGACACTGGAACAGCACCAAACCTACCAGAGGTCAGGAAGGGTCTGGACAACATTTTAAGTCAGGTGGTTTAATTGTAGTCCTGTGAGGAGCAGGGAGCTGGACTCAAACATCATGGATTGTTTCCAAATCAAAGATATTCTATGATTCTACAATAACACTTCTCCTTTTTTGTAAAACCTCTTTTGCTTCACAAAGTGTCCAGCAACTGGATAATTAATTATGAGCTGACTGTCCTTGCTATCAACTTGAAAAAATCAGTGGAGAACAAGACTTTGGGCTTTTTTTTACCATCAGGCAGGCATTAAAAAAAGTGAAGGTTAAATTTGGGTAAGGATCCAGAAAGGCCAGAAGGTCGTGGCATGTCCTTCAGAGGCATCTGACACAAGCTCTGGTTCCTTTTTCTTGCTTTCTGTCCCTAAGCTGCAAAGGAGTCATGACTCTAAACCTTTACCTTTGGTTTATCCTGGTTATCTCACTCAAATAAATGATCCTCAGTTGTTCAATAAAAGCTTTGTCAGGGTGAGATATGTGGGATTAGGACCTTAAGTTCAGGAAAAGTCTCCTGTATGAAAGTTTGTTGGTTCTGTGAGGGCAGAAGGAGGGATTGATTTTGTTGTTCCTCCCAAGCCTTGGTAGTAAGCAAATAAAGTTGGGTAAAAGAGGTTACAGGTGCCTAAAAAAGTGTGGTAGTAATATGAAAGGATGGACTCTGAGTGACACTGCTTAAAATGCTCTAAAAGGTTTTGAATCTTAGTTGGATGGAAGTTTGCCATGTCAAATATGGATTAAAAATAAAGAAAAAAGAGGGAAACTCTGCATGGGACAGAGATTTGGTGACAATGTGGGTATTAAGAGAGGCATAATGCTGTTGAGAAATGTGTTTTATAGTTCAGGGGAGCACTTTGCAATCTGCCAAAATTAAAAATTCACTGTGGCTCCTCTTGAGGAAGCAAAGGTTTTGCCTTGTAGACGAGCAAATGACACCACAATGACTGTCACACTTCTGTCCCTAGCAGCCCTGTGAGAACTTGTGAGAACTCCCACAGGTATTTCTCCTTCCCCCTGCACTGCACATCATCCATGACAATTTTTCTTGAGCTGTGAGCAAAAATCACATCTCCTGAAGGTGATGCCCCATGCCCACAGACCTGCTGGTTACAGACAGCTGCTGCATCACTTTTATCCCAGAAATCATCACAAAATTTCTCCCAATATTTCTCTGAAATATTTTGCAAAATATTTCAGCCTGCTCTTAACAGTGGCTCTACCCATTTACCATCCCCACTGACATTTATTTGAAAGACAAAAGAGATTTTCCCTGAATCTGGACATCTCATGGAAAGAAAGAATCAGAGATTTATGCAGGTTGGTTTATGCTGCTTGAAGCAGGTTGTTCTGGGTCGTGTCTCTAAGAGCATTGAACACTTCCAGTGCTTTGCTCTGTGCAAATTCAGTTCTGAAACATCAGAGCATGATACTAAATGCAATTGCACAAATGTAAGAATGCCTCTTCCTTCAGATCCTGTGCCAGCTGTGGATGAAAAAATCAGTCACTTCTAGGTGGACTTTGAGTCAGTGCAGTAACAACCACATCTAGCAAGGAAATGGTGCTGAAGATACTGTTGGAACAATGGGAAGCAGATTAATACACCTTTTTTCAGGACTATTACACAGGTCTACAGCAGAAGTCAGATCAGGCTTGAAATGCATTTGTTTATGACTACACGGGAAAATATGAATTTTTAAAGTGTTAGCAGTAACAAGGTTGTATAAATGAAACAGCGTGGTCACTAAAATGAAAATCCAAGGTAAATCAGAATAGAACCAAAGGATTTGATTTGATAGGGTTTGATACTACAGAGGAAATGTTGCTGGAAGGCAAGAAACTGAAAGAGCATTAATAGCCAATGTAATTTCACAGAGTGGAGATACTTTTAACTTCTACAAAGTTCTAGTGAATTTCTTTGCAGGAGTTCCTTTCTAATAGTTTAAATTTTGGAGTGCCTTAATAATTGTTTGAAGCCCTTCTCTTCTGTGGGACCAGTGGTTAACCCCTCTCCTTGGACATCCCACAGCAGCCACTGCCCCAAGAGGAACCAGGGAGAAAACATTACCAGGGCAATGGACTGCCTTATCTGCAGTAAACAAAACACTATTTTTTTCCCCCAAAATGCAGTGCCAGGAACCCCTCAAGGCTGTTCAAATTCCAGCCTGTGTTTCAAACAGTTAATCTCCAGCTCGGTTTTTGTCCCCCCAGCTGTCACACTGCTGCCTTTGGGCAGCACCTGATGTGATGCCAGGATGAATCCTTGCGGTGCTGGCAGGAGCAGCCCTCTTGTGTTCCCCAACAATGCATTCCTCAGCGAAATCCAGTGGACTTGTGAAACAAAGAGGGTTTGTCCCACGCTGGCAAAGCTCAGCTCAAGTGTTTACTCTTCATGCTCAGAGTGCTGCTCTCAAACCAGCGCTGCCCAAACCTCAAGGGGAAACTGAAGCAGGAGGTTCTGGCCACCCTTCTGCAGCTGGGGCTGCACCTTTGGGATTCTGGGCCTGAATTTGGGATATCAAGATCTAGAATTTGGGGCAGAAGGCCTGGCTTTGCCAAACAGAATGATGGAATCGCTGAGGTTGGAAAAGACATGCCTTTGCATGGAGGCATGGAGCCCTTCATGTGAACACAACTTGATTTTCATCGAATCCCGTGCAACAAAGCCCTGCTTGAATCCAGGCTTAGCAATAGAAGATGGTAACTAATGCCAAATGCTTCTGAAACATCTCAGCATCACTAGTCAGACACCAGGAGGAAAGAGAGAATATGAAACTATGGTTCCTCAAAACTGAGAAAAACACAGGGAAAAAGAGTGACAGTCATTCAGGCTCTTTAGAACAGCAGCAGTAATTAATGGCTATATTACACCCTCTGACTAATCCACTTATTTCAGGAAAAAAAAAAAAAAGAAATTTTGGTTGGATGAGTACCAGGTGATTCAGGGCAAAAGAGGTGCTCCAAGTGTTATTCTAGGAAATGGAAACAAATCACTCCAGTGACACAGCTGGGTCACTGATCAGCTTCCTCAGACAAGAGAGGTTTCATTAAAATAGGCTTCTTGTGTCATGAGTCTGAGGGAGAAGGTCTCCTAATATTCACAAGCTGCTGTGTGAATTTTAGTGTCTCCTTAGCTTTTACCATCTAGATAAAAACAGACAATACATTTAAAAATATGATAGGGAGACCCTAGTGTAATCCTGTTAAAAAAGCTGGGCTGTGACTTGGTGAGTCTGATGGAGTTAACTAAGAAAATAAAATTATCAGCTGAGTGAAATGATCTCCAGAGTATATTTCTTTAGTTATATAGTTGGAATTTGGTGCAAGCAGTGGAGCTTGGGCATGAAAGGACCCCTGAGCCAGAACTGGGAGCAGAAGGTTGTGCTCAGCTGCTGAATTCAGCTTGTTGTCAGTGGATAGCTGTGAGATTCCATGGGGAAAGCATGGGGAGAAAGTAATGAAAACAAGAAAAATGGTGTTTCTTACCCATACCCTACAAACCCTAATTAGCTTCTTGAAATCTCAATCCACATGAGGAATTTTTATTAATAACTGGAAAATGAATCTGCTTGCTGGCTATGAGATGCAGAAACAAAACAATGTTTATTTATACTCAGTTATAAATATTTTTGTGGTGGGTTCCTGGGAAGGAGGACCACAGAGCTGAATTATCTGCTTCATATTCCAAAATTAGAATAGGAGGATAAACAGGACAGGAAATCCAGCATACAAACAAGCAAACAAGGACTTTGTTTCTGAGCTTTGCTTCAGCCTCAGTTCTGGCCAAATAGGTGATTTAATAGCACTGGGAACAGCATAAAGTCAGGAGCCCATAGACCCCACGGAAATATTTACTAACAAATTTATGTGTATTTTAAATCAAATTGATTTGATCCCTTCTTTTCCCATTAAAGAAACCTTCAGGAGAGTTTCTCAGGGATGTGCAGTTTTGTCAGAGTTCTGAGCACTTTCAGCTGTTTGCTTGTTCCCCCCTCCCAGTGGGATGGGGGAGAGAAGTGGGGAAAAATAAAAAGAAATGAAATGAAATGAAATGAAATGAAATGAAAAAATAAAATAAAATAAAATAAAATAAAATAAAATAAAATAAAATACCTTGAGCCCCCCAGCCTTCTCACTGGCACAGCAGCATGAGGAGCTGACTGAGTGTGAGAATTGCTCAGAACCATCAGTTCCCAACATTATTCTTATCCTAAATCCAAACAGGGCACTGTACCAGCTGCTAGGAAGAAAATCAATTATCCCATCCAGAAGCAGTGCAGTGGTGTAATTCAGTCCTTGGGTTGACACTTCTAAGGGATTTTCTCATGGTGCTGCAAGCAAAATATTTATTATTGGTGCTGAGATGATCAGTTGAGTGCATACTGCTGAGAGAAAAAGCACGTGGGATGTGTTGTGACAGACACACCAGGAGGAGCTGAAATAACCCAATACCAAAGTCAGACAGTTTTCCAAAGGATAAAGCTGCCAAGTGATGGTTGGTGTGTCTTTCTGAGGGCAGAGGAGGTGGCAAAAATAAGCAGCCCCCAGAAATCTCATTTAAAAAGATCAAAGGAAGTGTCCTTTACCTGCTCCTGGCTCTTGACACCCTCGTGTTTGCAGGCACCAGCCTCCCCTGTGGGGCTGGCATAACATTGATCCCCTACAAACCAAACAGAAAACCAAAACAAAAGGCCAAATAAACAATTTTAGCTTACACTTTGCCTTTAATTCTTTGTATTTTTTACCTAAGACATGAAAGGCAAAAAATCCCAGGTCTTGCTTTTCATGTTTTCATGCACCAGTGATAAATGTTTATGTGGCATTTGGCTGTTTGCATTTCCAGCATATTTCAGTCTGGTTTATGAATGTGCACAAGACATTCTGAAAGGCTGGCTAAGTCCTGAGAAGCCAAACTCCTCACAGCCACAAAGCATACAACCAAGGAGGGGAAAAAAAATTAAATAGTTTTGTGATCAGCAACCAAAAGTAATAAAAATTGAACAAACTTTTTCCTTCTGGAAAGCAGATATGAAATGTCTTTCACCTCTTGACTGACATTTGGGTGAGAGCTGAAGAGTCTCCTGGCTGAGATTCAGTCTCCTGGATGATATTTGTGTTTTTGCCTCGTTTAGGATGTATATTAATGGGATGGCTACCAATTGATATAACAAGCCTTTAGAATAGATTGTGTTTCTCAGCCTTAAAGATTGCAAACAAAACGTCTTTAACAGCTCAGTTATATTTTGAATTTGGATTTATTTGATCTAGAGAAGTTAAAACTTCATGGAAAAGATGTTAATCAATGCTCAAAATACCTAGAATATTATATAGCCACAAATGCAGTTGCTGTGGTAAGATAATTTTTACATTTCCTTTCCAGAGATCATCCATTCTCTGCAAATTAAATCTTCCTTCCTTTCGATAAACCTTGAAATATTTCTTGATGCCTCATTCACATTTTCCAGCGCACAAAATCATGAAGCATTAGATAAATGGTTTTAGAATGATGTGAGAGGAGAATTAAAGAGGAGGAAAATGATAAAATAATTGTGCCAAACAGCTTGTGGCATGAGAGCTGAAATTCTTAATCCTTTAAGAGGTGTTAGGATTACAAGGCTGTTCTAAGGCATTGCAGCAGAATTTATTGTAGATAAAGATATCACAGCTTCCCACAAGTGACACATGTGAGGCTGTCACCAGTGAGGCTTTTTGGTGGCCCAGAACATGTGAGGTTTGCCCTGCATTCACAGAAAAAACAACTGCCAGGAGGGTGACAGCACCAACCACTGGTGTGAGGGAATTGTCAGCAGCAGGGGCAAGATACTTCAATATTTATACTAAGATAAATTTTATATTAAGACATTTAGAAGCTCCCTGTGTAATGTTTCAGGAGCAGGGGCTCAGACCATCACTTGGAATTTTTACTCAAACAGACCACACTCTTCAACACAGTAAAACATTTGTATTTTAAGCACAGAGGCATTAATTTGAGAGTCAAAATAGATTTATTGCTTTGTAAACATTCCTTCTTTCGATTATAAATTATACTGCTCACAGAACAGATTAATTTTAGCTTGGAAATCTCTGCATTTTATAAATAAGCACAGACCCATTATTGTTTCAATAAGAAATACAGCACTAGAAGCAATACTCAAAATAATTAGAATATTGTATAGCCACAATTCTGGTTGCTAGAGGAGCCCAGCCCTATGAGTGAAATTTTCTGGGGTTTGATCTCAGCACATTGAAGATCAAGGCACAAAGATCTCCAGTATTAAAGGGATGGCTCCCAGATCAAAGTCAGAAATAAGCAAACTCACAGATTCATTGCTTTCAACTATTTGGACAGGCTTCATATTAGCAGGGATGACAACTCAACTAAGTAAACTTCATAAGCAGAAAACAACTGAGGGAATGAAATATTTCTCAGGAAAGCTGGGAATTTGCTCCCAGATGGCTGTCATGGAATCATGGGATCATTTAGGTTGGAAAAGAACTTTAAGGTTATCGAGTCCTGCCATTAAATTAGCACAGATAAGTCCACCAATAAAAAATATCTCCAAGTGCCATCAAATTCACAATCAGACTGGAGCTAATTAGCACAATTCAAGGAGTTATAGCACTAAAAGGGATTACAGGCAACTCTCCTTTGGGACAGCCAAAGAAGTTACACCTTAAAAAAAAAAAGTGAAAAGGGTGAAAGCAGAAGCTTGCAAGGTGTTGATCCCTTCCTTTTTAGGGCAAAGTTGGTAAAAGCAGATTTCAGTGACAGGCGACAGAGCTGTGGCTTTTCTTGAGGCCCGTTGGTCATCCTAGAGCAAACATGAGAGAAATTTACTGGTCTTTTCCCGTGTTCCCCCTCGGAGCATCCCCTTCTCGGAGCTGAAGGGGCCCAACCACCACATCCACGGGTTCCTCAGCAGAGCTGGTGTCTCTCCTGGCCCTGGAGCTGCAGCCCTGGTAGCAGCGGGAGGAGCGGTCCCCGAGCCTGCAGACCAGCATCTGGCACTTGAGGTACACCGACGGGTGCCGGCTCATGAACTCAAAGGCATTGAATTTGAACCGAGCAAAGTGGCTGGAAGGGGAGAAGTATGTGGCATAGGAAGAATCTCTGGGACACCTAGAAAGGAGCAAAAAAAAGGGAATTAGTCTTCACGGATGCACACTTCACATTCTTGCAAAATTAAAATTCAAATTATTTGATTTATTCTTATGAGTTCCTGCAAAATTCTGATTAAAACTGAATTATATCATAGTCAGGTACTTGGAAAGCAGTGGGATAAAAATGTAACTTTCATAGCATAGTATGGACTTCAAAAATATAAACTTTTCAAAGTACTGTGAAGCAGCTGGAGTATTGGCAACCCTTCTTTTTCCATGAGAAAGACACTGTAGGTGGTGAAGAGGGAACAACAGACTGTTAGTAATGTCAGTGTTATACAAGGCATAAAAAATTAGTCTAATGCTTGACCTAGTTTTGCTAAAATATTTAACTCCTAGGATGTCAATTCCAACTGCCAGTTTCACTGTCTCATCTACTTTTCTCCCACTGCTTTGAATTTTGCTCACAGGACAAGGACGGAGTAAGTGAAATGAAATGATAGTGAGGCGTAAATACAATTTCTCACTTCCAGGCCCATACTGTAAAAATAAAATAAACCAAAGACCACTTTTCACAGCTCGTTGATAGTGAGTTCTAACCCCATTCAGACTGGCTGCATTATTTAAAACAATAAATAATTTAAATAAATAAATAATATAAATAATATAAATAAATAAATATAATATAATATAATAATAATATAAATAATATATAATATAATATAATATAATATAATATAATATAATATAATGTAATGTAATATGATATAATAATATAATACAATATGATATAATATTATATAATGTAAATTAATATAAATTAATATAAATTTATAATATATAATTTAATGTAAATTAATACTATACGAATTAATATAATATATTAATATAGTATAATGTTAATATTAATAAATAATATAAATAATAAATAATTTGGTGTGCTGCTTCTAAGAACTTGAAGAAAGCTCTTACCCATTCCTGACTAAGTAATAGGCCCGTGTGTTAAAATCACGAGGGTCAGGGGATGCCACACACGTGTCCACGACCACCTTCAGGTTTGGGTCTGAGCTGTGGAGACAAGCCTGGAGGTACAGGTTTTGGTTGAGGTCGATGTAGTAGGGAGAGCTGCGCACTTGCCGCAGGAACGCCGGGGAATCATAGAAGGTGATGTTCATGTCGTATCTTCCAAACTGGTACTCGTCCACATCCACAGTGTCCTCAGCAGCGTACATCACCTGCTGCCAGCTCTTCCTCAGCATTTTGCAGCTGACATGCAAGTTGATGTTCTTTTTCCTCTTGATGATGTAGCCGGAAGATGCAACCCTGATGGTGTTGGAGTAGTTGATTGTGTCGTTGTTCTCCTGTTTAACGATGCAATTTAAAATGGGGAATTGCGCTTTTGTCACGTTGCATGTAAGTTTTTCTAAGCTTAGATAGGCAACAGAGTGCCAAAGCAGGGGGTGTACCTCTTGTACGGTCCCACAGCCGCTGTAGGGAATGTTGAACACAACCTCCCGTGCCGTGACAGTCGGTCTGCAGCGGTTGTCGCTCAAGGTGACACTCCGTGCTGAGTAGCCCTGAGACTGGAGGTAGCGTCTGCTGACCACCACGTGCATGTAGTCTGGCAAGCACTGAATGGCTGGTGGAAGAGGAAGGTCCAATTTATTTGTGATTTTAGGAATTTGGTAGTGATGAGAGGCAGTTTTTTTTCTTAATTTAGAAGTCAGGCAGCTCCCACCCCAACCCACTGTATTTCACGCACATCATTAATTTTCAAAAAATATCTTTAAATTTACACAGGTGTTTATTTTGCAATTAAAAGCAATAAATAGGCTTGTCTGTTGAAAAGCATTGGCCAGGAACTTACTGGTGTTGTGACCTGCTGGAATGGAGGAGTAGTGAGCCTGAAAACCTCTGAAGGAGTATCTGGAGTCGCTGTGGAAGCAAACACTCATCATATTTGAAGAGGACACGTATGTGGGAAAGGAACCAGAACAGAATCTCCCAAGAAGAGGGGAAGAGTGGACAGGTCCATCATAGACTTCAATGTAGTCATGCTGGCACATCCCGCTTTGCATCCTGGTAGAAAAACATCAGCACCTTGTCAAATCCATTTCAGAAACTCTGATTTCACTGCCTAACCTGTGATAAAGTCTTTGAACTTTTCTCAGCACAAATTTAATTTGGCTTTTATGCAGCTTTGGCAAAAAATGGTGAGTGAAAAATGCAACAGCAATACAGATTTTGATCTGGTCTTCCAGCTGTGGATGTTATTGGAAGTATCTTTAAAATTGGGAAGGTTGCCTGCTTCAGATAAGATTTCAGACTTCTCAAGTAAGTTTTGATGTTGATATTTGCCTAGGGAATCAATGTTTTACTTACACAATGTCTCTAAATGTGAGCGTTACACGGAAATTGTTCTGTACTTGAATTTCCCATACACAGTCAGCGTCGTTCGGATAATTTCCAGGATAGTTGGGACTCTGGAGCACCCCAGAGGAATCTGAGACTGAGCCACCACAAAAATAAGGTGCTGCTAAGAAAGAAATGGGAAAGAAATTTACTCACAGGAACCTCTGCACAAGTGTAGTTGAGCTGTATGTGTCTCATGCACAGATATCACAGAGGCGGTCCCCTGCTGACTGCAGGGGATAGTCTATAGGAGCTGAACCAAAACTAATATTTGTTTTTGCTTTAGGTTTGCTTTCATGTTGGATTTGGAATTCCCTCAGAGGTGGATTTCCAGCCATGGTGTCAGACTACCCTCTTCAGGCTGGGCTGGTAACACCTGGATGCTTTCTGCCCCTTTTTAGAGTTGAGCTCAATTCTGGGAGGTGCCATGACAGCTGAAATGGAAGTACCCTCCTCAACAGCCTCTCATCAATTACTCTGCTGCTTCTCCTTATTCCTCTAAGGTCTTTGGAAGGTAAATAAGTTGCAAGTTTTCTAGAAAACTATAATTTTTTGGTCTCAGACTGATATAAGAACTTCAGGCTGCTGAGAAAAGTCTTAAGTACAAACATAGCTGCAAAAAGCTTTAGTGTTCCTGCCAGCAAGGATGACATAATTCCTATTAAGCACACAGATAGTCCTAAAAGTGTCTTCGTAGGAAGGCGAGCACAAGATCTGAACATAAATCCTACAAGACATGACCTTTAAAGATGAAAATCCATTTTATATTCTGCTTGAAAAAGGTCACTCACACGTGCAGTGATAGTGCATAGAGACAAAAGACAAATTTAGAGAAATTTACAGCAGGGAGACAGACAGACCACAAATTAGCAATGTGAGATGAGCCACAGAAGAGAATTACCTGGTGGAGGTGCTGAGGTGGCCACTGGAGCTGTGGGTATGAAGGACAGAGACACATGTGTGAGAAGTGCAGTTCATGAGAAAATTATTGGGGCCTGGACACGGCCTCGCCTCGAGTGTTAAAACAGGGATCACAGGGAGGCAGGGAAGTGGAAACAGGAGGCCAGGCACAGAGGGGCAGGAGCTCCACAGGAGACCCAGCTGCCTCCACTGCAAATGATCATATTCCCATTTCTTCTGATTATATCCCAAAACCCAGACTATGTCTAGGTAACAGCTCTGGTACTACCCACGCAGGAATCGAAGGGGTAAAGGCAGAATGATCCCTGAGGAAGTTGTCCCTGGTTGCAGTGGAAGACAATCCCTCTGCAAAAAGTGTCCTTGAACCAGCAATGGCTGCAGAGTTGCTGGACTCAAAGCCCAGCTGCCCCATTTGCCAGCTCTTCCCCATGCTCTGTTTGCATCCTCGCTTTAGTTGGTGCTGGCCTAACTGCAGAGGCCCAGGGCTGGGAGAGTCCCTGCAGTGCAAGCAGCTCTGGCAAGGGAGATCAGGAGCACAGAGGGTTCCAGGGAGTGAGAGTGGACAGGATTACCTGGGCTGCTGCTCTGTGCTGTGGTAGCCGCTGTTGCTGTGGTGGTCACCAGTGCCGGGCTGGACACCTCGGTTGTGGTGGGAGCTGGTGCTGTGGTGTTTGTTTCCAGAAGGGTGGATGTCTCTGTTAAGGAGGTGATGAGTTGAATGGTCATGGCCATGGAAAGCAGAGCTGGAGGCCAAATGGCAGGAGAGAGGGTGGAGCTCTTTCCTTCTTTTCCCCCATCCTGGCACCAGCCTGACCTGTCCCCAGTCCTGCCCCATCCTCCATAAAGAGCAATCCCTCAGTCCAGAGCTTTGCCCCATCAGTGGATGGCAACAGTAGGAATTGTGGAGTGCCAACTCTTCCATCCTTGAGCAAACTGAGGTTTCTGTGTGTGCT